TGATGAGGCAGTACAGGGAGATTAAACAAACAAGACAAAAATTGCAAGGAATATACAATATACACATTCAAATATTCACCGGTGACAAAATTTAAAGAAATGGAGACCAGCAGCACAGTTTCCATCAATCCTGGAAGACTTAAGAGTCTCATGAGCCTTTCAGCGTTCACTCAGCTGCAGATGTATGTGACCAAACAGCGAGGGGTCGACGATTTACTGTCTAATCTTTAAGATAAATCTTGCTAATGTTGAGTTACCACATTGCAATCTGAAAACTTTGGAAAAACTCGCACAGCTGTCCAATTTTGACGAAAAGATGATTTTGTGTATGAGTATCAGGTATCAGGTACTTTAGCCAAAAACGAGAAACTCTGAGGACGTTAATGATATCACAGAAAATGACTCAGCTGCCCTCGAGTGAGAGTTTCACCTCTGAAGCAAAGTGAAGAAATGATTCATCTACTTGGGTTTCAAATAGACTCACAAAGGTCTCATAAAGTGTAACCCTACTCATGAAACTGTTTTCATGCTGCAGATTTTGGCTGAGACAAACTTGATCTAGAAGTTTGCTCCGTTAAGATCCACTTAGTTTGTTTTGAAAAGCAGAAGCTCAAGAAAAGCAATTATCCAAACTTTTTTCCTTTGCAAAATAAGAAAACACGTGTTGGATGAGCTGAAATGTCACTAATATATGGAAGAATGTGAAAAGAGGGTTAGACAAACACAGAAGAAGGTCATGACCAGATCCTGCATGTCTTTTTTAGCATCTTTCAGCTCATTGTTTTACTTTCATGCTTCATTAACTATTTGGTTCAGGTCTCTTGTTGCTGGTTTTTCTGCAGGAGCTCACAGCTGTTTTCAAAGGCATCAAATTTCAGACAAAGAAAGAAATGAGTAAAGGCTGGAGTGAATCTAAATGAAGTTTGTGCCGCAAAGAAATCAGGATTCAAATATGTGAGCGTGGCAGCTTGTTATGCTCTCTTACAAAGATCAAACAACCTGAGATAAACAGAGATCTGCAGGTTTTCATCAGCAAAGCAACATGTTCCCTGGTTCTGTAATAGGAATAAAAGTGAGCGCAACATTACAAAGATGCTCATAAATTAGTGTGATGGTTTCATTTCCAAAATTGTTTCAAATTGAATTAGTTTTACATCATATCCACTTAGCAAAATACTATTCTTTTCTTGTTTTACGACATAGTTTGAGTTGTTGTAAGTGAAGTTTTCTGAGATACAGCTAACTATAAACTTTTTATTATTCCAATTTTCTCAACACTTTTGTTACGACAAGCCTTAAAGCGAAGGTTACCAGGTCTCTTTCACTCTTTTTAGTCCTTTTCCTTTGGTTCTCACACTTCGGCATAAAGCCGTGTGCAAACAAACTGTTTTAACCTTAAATCATTGGACTAAATATCTATCACATTCACTTGTTAAATGTCCATTCATTATAATATTTTTACTAGTGCTGACACTAGTGCTGCTTTGACCATCCATCTGAAATGGGCCTACAGTTTCGGATACCTGCAAAGTCATTATTTCAATTCACACTGAATTGTTTGGTTGTCTGCAAAATAATAACCCCAAGAAAAAGTCACATTTCACATTTTTACAACCAACTTGTCACAGCTGTAACTTTAATTTTTAGTATCTAAAATAAAAAGGTAAATTTTGAACCACTGAGTTTTTCATTTCTGTATAGGTTCTGTTAATATGAAGAATTAATCCATAGATATCTGAAATTTTCATTCTAAGTAGCTGGAATAATTACTGAAATAAAAATTGTGGATGTTAAGAATAACTTGGATGATTTCGTGTTGTGAGGAGAAATGCAGTCATGGAGAGGTTAAACACATCTATCTTACTGATAGACGTGTTTGCTCCTGAGGTTAAAACAGTTGGCATGACCGTGACCTCTGTTTGAGCCTCTCATTGTATGATGCTGCCATCTAGTGGATGATACTGCACATCTCAATGCCTTCCCTCTCTGGGTACCACTTACAATGGAGCTTTTATAGTTCATTACAAATCTAATTCTGAAACTCATCACTGCTCCCTCTGTGCCTGAGCTCGCTGGGCCTGCATTGTCTACACATAGATGTTCACTTTAAAAAGGACTCTTACTTTTATCAGTAAAATATAATATTCTAAGCTGTGTCAGCATGAAGAACTAATTTTGCCAGGAGTTCAAACATTACGTTGTTTTGTCTGTTGCCACAACTTGATCTTAAAATACAACTCTTGACTTCTGTGAACTTCTGTCAAATTTTCGAGGTCATGGGTTGTGGAAATGATTGACAGCCCCCTGCTGGTGGAACCTGTACATCAAGGTTACTATGGATTTGACTCTTTAACAAGACACAGCAGCAGCACACACTGAGTAAGAGGCCAATTTTTATAAAGTAGCTCTTCTTTTTGATAGGATTTGGTTTAATGTTAATGTGTTGTAGTTTAGTTGGTAAATATCACTGTAAAAATCTTGTGTTTTGAGTCAGCATTAATCAGCAGCTCCTACTGGATCTGCTACTATTTACTCTGACATTTCTAACTTAAACACATGAAATATCAAGTGATGACAGATGATGAAGACCAACTTTGAAAGAAAAAAAAAGAATAATAATAATAAGGAGGCAATGCAGTACTACAGGTGAACACCAGAGGGCGACTTAGACCAAAACTCTGTGTTTCACCGTAATGCTTTTCACTTAGCTGCTTTCCCAGGTCTCAATGGGGCCCTAGTTTTCAGGCGCTTCATGCATGTTTGAATGCAGCTACCGACAAACAAGATAAACCCCAATTCTGAGGGTTTCAAATGATGCTTTTGCTCTGTCACATAAATCGGTAAAAGTGTCTGCAACATAAGCAACATAAAACCTGTTATCAACAGTAACAGCAACAGAGTTTAATTCAGATGCACAGTACTTGTATTGATGTTTCTGCAGCTCTCCTCTGTATTTGACATCCATTAACACCGGAGTAAACCTAAAACAGACTTAGGAGATATAGGTTGATGTACCAAAGTGATGATTAAGTGGTTTAAAGAAGCAGTCCCCTCTCTCTGTACCTCTAATTGGCTTGTTATCATCGAAACACATCTGACAAAGCTGAACAGCAACTATACAACAAAAGCCCCCCAGGCACACTTTGTGCGGTTACTCTGGCCTTTTTCCTGGTTAGACTGAAATAAGATGAGCTGTGTCTTTAAATAAATGCACTCACATAAATATACATTTCCGAAGAGGCTGATTTTTTTCTCTCAAGGTGAGAAGCTTCAAACATCCCTCCACCTTTGATCTGCTACCAGACAGCCTCCGCTTTAATATTTAACTCTGATTTCACATCATAGAGCCCACATTTCCTTTGCTGCTGCAACAATGACCCTAAGAATCGTCCCTCTTTGTGACAGTGGGTTATTGGAGTGTAAGAAGCTCTCGTCTCTGTAAAAACCATATTGTGACTGCTCGTCGTCTCTCGCCTCTTCATGATGCCGCTGCTCCCCTGTGGCAGCCGGCAGATCACTAAGCATTAGAGTGAAGTATGAGGGCAGTTTCTGCAATGTCGACCTGACTCCATCAACAATAGCTACAAGGATGCATGAGTCTCTGTGTGTGTTTGAGAGGAAGTACGAGGCTCTTCAAAAGAGCAGGGATGATGCAAATGCTCACAAAACTGTTTGACATAAAGTAACAGAGCAGTCTTATTTTGGAGGACAGCTCTGGAGTTTTCTCCTGGAGTGAACCCTCCTGATTCCTGGACTGTGATGTGATCTGTGAACAGCGTTCTGTTCGAAGTAATGCCCAGATTTGATGATGTGATGCTATCATGTGGTAGAGAAGGATGCATTCATGTCCTTAATTATTAATAGTAGATTGTTTTTGAGACTCCAGTCGGCCATTTGTGGCACTAAACCAGCTGTTATTTTAATATTGAACATGCTGATCCCTTGGACTCTATCTATACTTTAAAATTTTACGAAAGCACGTTTTTGCTTTTATTGCGAAATTATACGATGTTCGCTACAGCAAGACAATAGGCCTTAATTTGAGACACATAGGCTGACCTGACAGAATCAATACTATTAGCCGAATATGCCGAAATACCTGTTTTGGGAAGGATTATTACCACTAGGGTTGGGTATCGTTCGATTTTTAACGACCGGTTAGGGTTAGGATTAGGAGATTCAGAAGTGGGATAATGTTCTGTGATGTTCTGTTCAATGTACAGCGCTGACAGCCGCACTTGGCTTGAGCGTGTGATGACGTTTCCAGCTTTTCTAGCCAATCAGAGGTGAAGGAGGCGGGACTTTCGCCTACCATCCTACAAAAAAAATATCGCCTCCGGCATCGAAACTTTAAATCGAATTTTTAAAATTTGAACAGTTCCAGGAGAATCTGAGTGTTAGTCCCGGTCCCTATCGATGCTTGAGACTCGATGGTCAACCCAAATTACCACTGTAGTAAGCCAGAGTGCAGCCATTGTGTAACTTCCTATTTACAATAAAACTGAGACCTACGGGAGGGAAGCTACACCAATACCTCTGAGCTAAATGACCCCTTTATATGCAGTTTCATGGGTGGAGCTTTTGGGTGACTTTTTTGGCGTTGCAACTGAGATTCATTGGTGAAGAGTTAAACAAATGCTCAATAGTTTAAGTCTATGCTGGGTTCATACAACTGTATAGAGTTGTAGTGCAGCCTTTGTGTTACTTTTCTATTTACACCTCAACTGAGACTGAGCGGAAACATTAAAACCAAAGATTTAAAGCTGGAGCACATTGATTTCTCTTTGGATTTATACTGCTGTAGAGAGCCACAGTGTAGCATCTATGTAACTTAATATATCTCCCAGGTGATTTTGGTCAACAGATACATGGAAATGTCTATTTTGCTTATATTTTAGAGCACAGTGAAACTTTGCAGTATTTTAGAGGACTGTACCTTTCCAAAAAAAAAGGTCATCTTTGCCTGGTTTGTTTCCAGTAATTATGCAGACTCCTCAGAGTTATGGTGGTAATGATTTATTGATGTTCAAATGCTACACATAGCACCGTCACATGTCAGGGGTCCACAGTAAGAGGTCACTGACACAGGTTGGAAACCCCCTGCTGTTTCCTGTCTGAGTGAATACAAAACTCGGGGGGTTCAGAGAGGGACACATATGAGTGGTCAGTCTTTTTTTTTTTCTTCTTCTTCTTCTTATATATAATGAAAGATGTTTGTGTTTTTCACTGTGATTGAAGAAATCCTTTATTTCAGAGGAAGAAAATAATACATTTGAAAACAAGCAGTCAAAAGACCCGGGCCAAATCTGCCACATCTACACCTCGTCCTGTTAGCATGTTAAAGTTACCTGTGGTTAAACAAAAACAAAAAACAAAATAAAAGACAAAATTAAACTCTCCAAGGTTACAGTCTATTTAACAAGTCTCAGTAGTATGGCACCATTTTCAGGCTGTCTTCGAGTCCAGTGTTTAGTGATGAGAGTACTATTTACAATTAAAAATAAACAAACAAACAAAAAAAAAACAAACAGAAAGAATCAACAAAGGAGTTTGATAAGCAAGTGTTTTAAAAATAGTGCTTGAAACGAGTGACTCAACATAAAACTATGTACATACCTGTTTTTGTCAAAGCTTGTTTGCCTTTATATACACATATTTTTTTTTTCACATTGTTAATAAGTCACATCAATCATATTAAATATAAGCAAACATTTCTGCTGTAGTAAAAAGAAAGGGAAAGAAACGAGTCAACTCGAAATGACATGTAACCACGTGTGTATCACATTTCAACATAAAACATAGAACAATAATATTAATACCGATAGTAATGACATTATTCCAACAATTCAAATGGAAATCTCTTTTCAGCATCTCTTCATGATGAAGTAGTTCTACTCTGCATCATTTTTCCAGTCGTTTCAACTATGTACAAGAAACATTCAGACTGTATCCTTCCAGGACAGATCTCTTTTTTAACTCACATTTGGTTTTTTCACTGTTAGTCATTCTGTAACTGCTCAGAGATCCTGTCTAGACCTGAATTACTGACCTGATGTATCGGTGAGTTTTGTACAAGAAGGAAAAGTCCAACATTTGGGGGAAAGGTTTGTTCTTTTTTTCATAAAAGATCATTTACTTAAAAACACATTCCCTCAGAGTATCTTCTTTACCTACTATGATGCCTATATCATGTTTACATTGCAAATTAATTATCTTTAATAATGCCTTCAAATGCCACAACTCTAAAAATAAATCCACCAATTAATTATAATTTTTAATTATCGTGGGAATAATACCTAATTTCTGACACCTCTTAACCTTTTGCTTCTCCTTGAATTCAGATTTATATCCAGACTCATCAGGTGAATGTGACAAATATTAAAGCTCTAGTGAGGAACTTCGAGTTTGACTAAGCAGTCTTTGCTTATCCTGTCCTTTACAGACTCGAAAGGCAACTTTTGACCTAAAAATGTCCTGCTGACTTTTGTATCATTTATTTTGAATGTTTTATGTGAAACCGTAAAAGCAGAGACACTTCTATTGTTCTATTGCCAATGCCTACCTTCCTTGCCAGTTTTAGGCATTAAATATTAAGATAGAAAAGATCATCTAACTCGCTGCTAATGGTTTTGTTTGATTTAAACATCAGGAAAAGGCATTAACACAAATTTCAGTCTATTTCACATACCTCAAAAAACTCTTAAAGGAGCTTTAAGAACATTTTTGAATGACAATAAGTATCTTAACATTTGTTAAAGGGACTTTAAATCTGGTATTTGTATCTTGCTCTTGTTTTCTCACCGAGGTGAGAAACCAGATTATAAAATAAGAATATTTTTATCGCCACAAATCAATCTTCAATTATAGGTAAGAGTTCAAACAGTATTTTCCCAAAATGTCAGACTTTTCCTTCATTACTTGAGTCATTTTGTATTGTTTAAGTGTTGTGTCTGGAGCTCGATTTCTGATTCCCTCCAAAGAGTGAGTGCAACCACTGCTTAGCTAGATAGAAGATGACGAAGATTTATATTTTCTTTTTTTTTCTTTTCTTTTTTTTTTGTACAAGAGAATGTCTTACACATCGACTTCAAAACAATCAAGTATGCTTACTTGCTGCAGGACATGAATAAATACAGTAAAATTAAAAATGACTTCTTCTAATCAAGTCAGTTAAACTTTTTTTTAACAAAATAAGAGAAAGAATCCAGAGGTCCAAAAAAATCATTAACATTTTCCAACAACAACCAAAAAAAAAAAAAAGTTCAAGTGGAGAGCGATAAAAATGATGACACTAACAAGTATACAGAAGTGTTTGTGCTTGTGAGGACATTAACCCATCACCTGAGACGTACCTCAAAATTAAAATACAAACGCAAACTGGTCCATCAAGCATAAAAACAGGGACTCCTTATCACCTCCCTGACTACAGATCTGCATTAAGTGGGTGCTTGAAATAAAGTGCAGGATATTTCTAGCCATAATTTTAATATTCTAGACTTTTTTCAAACATATATGGATTCATCTCACAGCTCGACAGAGAAATCACTTAACACTGAAAGATTACATTCTTGTAGCATGACGGAAAAATCTAAGAGCGATGCTGAAGTCCTGTCAGAAGACTGCCGGTATCAAAAACTGTTATTAAGATGGAGTTGCGCTGATGATATATAGGGTGTGTGTGTGTTTATGTGTGTGTTTATGTGTGTGTGTGTCTGCGATGGTACGTTCAGATACAAAGCAAATCATAACATTAGATCTGACACCAAAATGAGGATAAAATGCAAAAATTTTGTTTCAACTGCGTCCGATGCTCGCTCAGATGAGAATATTCCCACTGTGCTTACATTCCTTAACAGAGGTGTAAAACTGCCTCTGCTTACACTGGCTTTTCTGCATCTTCTTGCATTTTTTCATATTTTATAACAGAGGACTAAAGAAAGTCATCTTTTCCATGATTATGATGCTTCTTATTAATTTATTGAGCCACTGTTTTGTTTGTTTGTGTAAGAACTAGATGAAAAAGTGTTAAAGTGTCTCCAGATGGCTTTGTTGTTTGTTGTTTACACATACATTTTTGACGTACATTAAAAAACACTTGCAAGGTGATTTATGCCAGCCCCAAATTATTCTTTATTTTTGTCCTCTCCGCCTTGTTGTACTTTTTTCTTTCACTTCATACCAACTGAAAAAATACTCGACCGATCGATCAGTGAATCTCTGCTCTTTACCGGTAGAGAAGGAACGGCGAGAGAGGGCATAATGAAGCTAACACACAAGTTATTACACTTTCCATAGCCATGCATGTCAGCTGGATGTTACCACTAGAATCTGTTCTGGTGTGGACTGTGTAATTTTCTTTTCTAAAATGCATCTCATATTTTCCTGTGTGACTGATCAAAATCTTGTACAATCTTATAAAACATGACATCTTCAGAGCTTTTGTTTCATCCACCCAAATGCCAGAATACTGATCTTTCTCATGCAGTACCCTTAGAATTAAAAAGGACCCCATACTGCATTTATTTTACGGGCTAAGAAAAGCAGTCATCTGTAATTTGGCTGTAAAAATTGATTTGTATATTTTCTGCCCTTTTTTTTTTGCTTAAATTTAAAATTTCAGGGAGGAACAACTTTATTTTTCAGTATTTACTTGCTAGATTGACATTTTGGACCATCTCCCCTTGATTTACTTGAATTACCTGTTCCATAAATCAAAGAAAAAGATGCAAAATTGCCAAAATATGACTTTTTTTTTTTTTGTTTGACTTTAAACTGATTCCAAAATATTGCATTGACCTCCATGTAAGAAGAGACAGAGAAGCCACGAATCCTCAGATTTAACTGTTATCAACATTTACTCAGTGGGTCCACTTGTGTTAGAAAATCTCTCCTTTGAGCTTTTTTACTCTGTAGTTGTTACCTCTAAATATACCATGCTTTGTGTTGTATCTGAACGCAGATAAAATCATAAAACTCAGCTTAAAAACTCTGTGTCTCTTTAAATAAACTCAACTGAGCACTCTTGACTGCATTATTGTAAACAAAGGACTCATATGATAATATGACTTGAAATACAACACAATGATCCCGCTCCCTCCCAGACAAACAAAAAAAATTTACAAATTCAAACTGAGAGAGAGAAAAAAAATAACATTTAGGCCTACGTTAATTCCGCTTTCTTTGTGGAGTCATCTAGATGAATAAGGCTGGTCCAGTCATTGCCAGAGTCTTTACTGGCCGTCGAGAGTGTCCTGCTGCATGACTGTTCCTGGTCAGCTGGTCAGAGGTAGAAACCGGTGGCTGGAGGGTCGGGGAGGCTGGACAGAGTCTCGGGGACGGGCATCTGCACAGCAGAGGGCGCTGCTCCGTTCATGTTGGGGAGAGCACAGCCTCCTGGGTAAGTGGTGTTTAGGATGCAGCCGTTCTCTGTCTGCAGGTGGAGAGAGTGAGTCGGACAGCTTTGGGTTACAGTTATGTATAGAGGTGATATTCAAAGGGGACTTTATATACACAGCCCCAACTGCTGTAATAGTTCATTAAATATCATATGCATCTTTTTGTATGCAGCTCTCCTTGAATTTGGCTCATTATTTTGCAAACAGTGACAGTAGGATTTTTGAACAAGTATCTGTTTTCTGCATCACATGATAACCATTGTGGGGTACAACTGTCACTGTATCATGGGACTAAACAATCAATGAAGAAGGTGACTTAGCAGCTAGTTGGCTACGTAAATGGCCTTTACCACAGTGTGTGGCTTCTACTTTGTCAACTCAAGACTTTTGAAACATAGATCAAAGGTGGGCCCAATACCAGAAAACTGACTATTTTTCTGTGGCTTAAAGCAGGGTACACCCTTCAAGTTAATATTGCCAATTTAGAGCCAGATTTTGAGACAAGTGAGCAAAAGCCCCATCATCCAACCGTTCTGAGGATTAGATGACTTGGTATCAGTGTTTTAGTTTTATGGAGTGATTTTACTTCCCCCAATCTGTCTAAAAGACAATCTGAATCTGTTCAACATGAACAATTAGTAGAGGATGCACTCTTTATTGGTTGTTTTGTAAGATTAAACGATAGCCATTAAGGAAGGAGGCTGACTGAAGAAGGAAGCAAAGAATCAACGCTTCATCTTCAATAGACATCATAAATAGAGAACGTACATGTTAATTTATGGCAGCAACATAAGAGTTTGTCCTGTAAAACACACCAAAGTCAAACCAACAAGGCAGACAAGCAGCATTGATGTTTTCTGCCACAACCATCCCATTATCAGCCATTCCCACTGACTTTCAAGTCACGTTTGACCTTGGGAGATTTTGGGAGATTTCCAGTTTTGGGAGTCAGGACTTTGAGTTGTTGGAATATGGACTCTGTGAGAGTTAGGTGTGTTGTGTTGGTGATCTCACTGCACACCACAGTCTACAAAAACAACAACTTTAAAAACTCAATATTTTTGTCAGACTTGAGTAAATGAATGGATGTGATGCCATGTGTTTGTGATACAATACAGAAATGATTAAGTTATTATTATGGTATCTATCTTTAAGACACAGTTGCAGCGTCAAAAAGGGGAAGAGGACATAAATTATGGAGAGGGTTGTGATGTGAATGTGCTTGTGTTACTTAGTTTGTTGTTCGTACTTTTGTTACGGGGACAACATATAAAACATAAAAATTTCATTTATTTTTATTTAAAAACAACTTTTCAACAAGTCTCGAGTCTATGTATTGTGATTTGGGGGGACTCCACTGTGTTTTGCAAAACCCGCAAACTGTTTCTTGAATCAGTCATGTGGTACAGCCGGGCAGCGAGGCTTCAGACGTCATCATTTTTGCACTAGTCTTTAACTGTCACCGAGTATCAAAATACACAATTTACGGCTGATCTGTTTTTCAGGTTGTCTAAGTTTTGGAGTCTTTGGACAAATTCAACTGGGCCATGTAGCGCCATTGTGAGATTAGCGAAAAAGTGCTTCAACAGAAATTATGCCTGATCATGAACACCAAACTTTTGGAGAGGTTTGAGATCCATTTCTCAAATGGCGTGGGACACACAGAAAATTAGTTTTTGGCTAAAAGCAGAAATCTCCTGATTGGTCCTTTGAGCACTTTGATGCACAAACTGTTCGATAAACTCTCAAACAAAGCAAATAGGGATTCAGTCAGGTTATCTCTATCCTCGGTTTCTGACACCAGACCAACAATTAGTGTTTCAGCAAACTCACCTTACTGGGACTGGTGTCATGAGGAATCTCTGAGGTCACCACACCATAGTGATCCAACTGCCGGCATGGCTTGCTCACTCCAAGGATCTGCTCCAGGGAGGCGTTGGGCGGAGGGCACTGCGACAAGCTGGAGATGACCTGAGCCAAAGGAACCGGCATCGGCTCCTGCGGACGTTTATGGTTCATCCCCTGGAAGGATGAAACTGTGGACTCGGCCACGTGCTGTTGTCCATTCCTCCCAAACAAACCACTTCCACTCATAGAGTAATCCGCATTGTCAATATCAGGCATGCTATAATCCATGCAAGAATCTAGTGAGGTGTTTGTCAGAGGTTTTTGGCTGTTATTGAGGCAGGGGTTGCTGCCGAGACTCTCGCTGAATCCGAAATCCTGCCACTGGGAATTTCCTGCCGTATGCTCTGTGCTGGACATACCACAGAGTCCATTGAGGTTGGTTGCCTTCTGCTTGGCGTGGCACTGCTGTGAGAGGTGGGTCTGCATCCTGGGTTGCAGCTGCTGCTGCTGCTGAAGGAAACGTTGATGGGATTGCTGCTGCTGATGAAGGCTAGTATCCAGCTCAGCGGCCTTGCCATTGAAAAAAGTCTGTTGAGTGTTGAAGTGATCCAGCTGTATCCCTACATTGGTGAGGATGTCTTGGGCCGTCCATTGTCCATTGCGGATGGGCTGGTTTTGGCCCAGTGGGTCTCCATTGGCTATAGAGTTAGCCAAATGGTCACTCTGCTGGCTCCAGCTGTGTGTCACTTTCCCTGGTCGCATGCTGAGGTGTTGTTGCATCTGCTGTGAGAGCTGGACGATGGGAGCCTGCCCCACCAAAGGAGGCTTATGGTGAGGAAACTGCATTTGAACATTAGTATCAAGGGTGGGGTTACTTTCAGATCCTGAAGCTGTGGTGGCTGTTGCTGAGGAAGTACTGGGAGGCGCCTGTCCTCCGGGATCCGTGGAATCAGCCTTTCCCTCAATCGAGTCATAGATATAAGAAAGGATCTCATCATTTGTCAGCAGGTCATCCAAGGTGGGCACTCGTTCGGGGTCCATCTCAACCCGGATCATCCGCTCATCCAACAAGAGCAGCTCTAGGTCCTCGGCACTCAGCCCCAGGCCCTCTAGAGCTCCAAACAGCTCACCATTCGAACAACAGCCCTCTTCTGAATCCACAACCCCCTGGCTTTCCAAAGAAAGGGAGTCCAGAGTAGCCAGCAGCGGGTCAAAGCTTGTGCTTGCCTCTGCTATACTCGGACCCAACACACCGTTGCTTGGCTCATCCCAACTCCTGTGCAAGCTGGACGGTTCAGAGTCAGAGAAGCCCATTTGGTCTCCAAAGAAGCTGCTAAATGACATTTTGGGCTCCAGAGCGGGCTGACAAACATACACTGATTCATCCTGACTCATAAGAGCCCCAAGAAGAGAACCAGGGTCAAGACCATCCCTGACCAGCCTGTCAGTCCGACTCTTCTTCGACTTGCTGCCATTTTTCTCCTGGCTTCCATCCCTGAAGCCCGCTATGGGATGGTTGGACTGGTAGAGCAAGGCCTCACCTGTGGCATAGGTGAAGGGTAGATGCATGGAGCGTTTACGCAGGTGTTCTCCACCCTCTTCATCCCTAGAGACAGAAAACAATATTATTCTCCATGGTCTTAACTAAGCTATTTAAGCAAATTTCTATGACTAGAGATGTAACAGAAGCTTTATGTGTGTTGGACATTGTTTCTCTCAAACCCCTTTATAAACTTTGACCGTACACAAACAGAGAATTTACCTTTTTTTTGCAGTATGACTATCATTTTCTCTGTCTTTGAATTTTATAACTACATAAATTCAGGCAAACATACAAAAGAGGCCTCTGGGTGGCGATGATGTAGTCTGGTTTGCCGTTCTTGTAGACCAATCTTGCATTGGCCTGGACCCATTTCCAGGTATTTTCCTTAGTGAGAAGCCTGAACACGGTAAGACCGCTCTCTCCAGTCTTCATCACTGCAAATATTCAACACACACACACAGTTATTACAAATAAAATATATGACAAATTCATTAATAGTGTGCAATGAAGCTTGGCCAAGACCACAAATGGATCCACACATCCTACTAATGCATCTGTTTGATATGGTTGGGCACAGTAACATTTACAGGATCTGGAAACAAAGCCAGAGCACTGGACTTCAGAAGTCATAAGCAGATTAAATTTGGAAATACTAGGAACAGAAAACCTCAAATTCTTGGTCAACCAAAAAAGTTGTGGCTTACCAAAAGGAAAATCAAAGAGATTAGCAAGAAAGTAAAACAATACTGGACTATAAACACCAAGAAAAACTGGAATAGCCAGCAGCTTTTGGGAAACTTGTGTATCAAAAGTGGATTAAGTTGTTGAATTTATGTCCCATGCTGTGTACACCACAAATCTAACTGTACAAATCTAAATCATCTTTTTTTCTGGTCAAAATATCTTGTTGCACTCAACACAGGCCACATTAACCCGGCAAATCTGGATGTAAATCTTGTTGCAAGATATTATAGCCAAAAAGGGACTTAACTGTTTGCAAAATTAATGACAAGTTTTTCAAAATAAGTGAAAACTAACTTGTTATAAAACTTGTCCAGAAGAACTCTCTAGATGCTTTGGCGGCCACTTGTTCTCTTTTACAATCAATTTAGTCCTTATGAGTTCTTTTGACTAAAAACTAGATAAACAGACTTGGTAATGAGTTGCGTTTTCACAGCGCAACTGACGAGCACTTTTGTGGTTTTGCAATTTTATTTTACAACTGACCAGAAAATTAAAAAAAAACAACGTAAATTTCTTTGAGTAGAAAATCAATAAAAATAAGGGTCTATCTAAGGGGTTAAATTTGATGTTCTCTCCTTTTTTGTTTAACCTCAGTGAAGCATTGTGAGTCAACCAAACCAAAAACTGGTTTCCAGCATGATGAACAGGCTCATGTATGTTTAAATCAATCTGTCTTTGCAACTCAATCAAACTACAGGCAAGAGAGAGAGATAAGGATCGAGGGAGAGGGAGTCGTCAGTAAGCATATCTGACCTCTAGAGTGTTTGTGAGTCGGTGTTTCTGTATGGATCATCTCTGATGCTTTGCTCACTCAGTGGATTTGTGGGCCCTATCCTCTCCTCTGGCAGCTCTACGCCACTGCTCAATCTGCTCCGTAATCCAGCAGGATTACTTACGAAAGCTGTCTGAACTCTCTGACCAAGCTGGAGGAGAAGTCCTCAACTTTTTTGACAGCGCTGACTCTAAAATAGCAACATGTTTCCGTCGATTAAGATCAGAGACCGATGGATTGTTACCGGGTACTCCACGCACTCTAAAACAGCTTCAGACTGCAAATCCACCAAATCTGTTTCCAGGCTGAAAATCTGTGCTACTTGGTGGCAACCTCCAATCTAGGAAATTATGCTAGTAGGGGGGAGGCTGAGAAATGCAGTTCCTCAAGTATCCACTTGTTAGCCACATACACAGTTATTCACAAAAGCCCATCTTTGCAGGTGAATATATTTCCAGCCTGGTTCAAGGTACAATTTTAATCTGCACGGCACTGTAAAGGGGTTAATTTTTTATCATTTGTTTTGAAGACAATAAGGTTTGGAGTTCTGCATGATTAGGGCACAGCAGACTTGACTAACAGGAAGCTGAAGGTAGACTGAAAGTTAGGTTGGGTTAGCATTTCCACCAACCAGGAGCAGTATGAGATACAATGAGTATGTAACTTACTTCTGACGTGGTTCTCTGCACAGTACAGCATGTCTGCTGCATGGATGAACTGATAACCAGATCCTCGTACCCGCAGCTCGGCCTCTGTGTACCCAAGCACTATCTTCCCCCTGCACAAAAAAAAGACCATACTTCATTGGAACAACATCATGGTTCATTTCTGCCGAGCGGTTTTCAAAGCACTGCAGCAGAATTAATACAAAAGGCGAAGTATAACTCTTCTCTTTACTTTGCGTCACAGGCCAGGGGTGTGAAGTCCAGTTTGTGTTTGGTTCTGAAGATCATGTTCTTGGTTCTGATCTCCAGGATGGACGGAGGTTGCAGGGGAGTTGCGATGGCGAAAAGGGCGAGCTGAGGCGGAGCTTTTCCTCCGTTTTCCTGCCGCTGGTTCTGTCCATGAAGAAACTTGAGTCTGCCCTGGATGTTCAAAGCCTGCAGAGAAAAGAAAAAATAATGCTCTAGTGAGATTATAGAGCTCCTCTTCGCTTTACAGTAATTCAATTTACCTTTAACATCGATGGCTATATATGGTTGCAAGGCAATATAATGGGCAACTAAATGGAAGGAGATAACCTGCTCGCTGCCATACAGGTTCATCTGAAATCTACAGTAAAAATTTAAGTACTTAAGGTGGACCATGTCAGGTATCACAGGGATTCAAAAGGACTTCAAAAGCAGTCAATTACCAGGAAGCCGGAGGAGTTGTCCAGGAGGCAGCGAAAACGACACACGAAGCTCCTCTCCAGGAAGGAGGAGTTTTCAGGAGGAAGCTGCTCAGGGTTGTAGGTGACCACAGATGAGCTGCTGTCTGGCTCCATCTCTGTTATTACAACAAAAGTGTCCAAGTCAGTTCAAATTAGTGAAAAGTGGTGTCTGTATCATTATTTAATTACAACATATTCACTCTTAGAAAGGCAAACACTACACTCTTAGGACAACCGACCACTGCTGGGGGATGAAGAACTTGATCCGAGGACACTGCTACAAGTTGACTCCCCATTTTGTTGACAAGTTTAGTGAAAGTCAAAGTCTTGACAGATATTTATGTAAGAGTTTCTTGCACCTTTGGTTCTTTAATGTCACCATAATACCACAGAGAGCACGCTGTATTTTTAATCTTGAGCTGGACTAGTCTCATATTGTTAGCAGCCCTCCACTCTTGAATGCATAAATGGACTCATGTAATGAGGCTTGGAGTTAACTCTCAGTGACAGCGTTTGTTGCAGTTTGGAGAGACAGTTAACAGTTTCCCAGTGCAGCAGCAAGTTAGTTATGTCAGTGCTGTGGGTCTAAGCCTAAACACACATAGCTCAGAACCAAAGGATACAGACATAAGCATCTTAAAATCCAGATCTGGGACCACTTCACCTCCTAAGCCACAGTGGAGATTACAGGGTCATGTGACCTGACCCAAGGATGGCCTTATAGCTTAATGCTTGAACTGTGTGCACTAAACCTCCCGATATTGATGTCTCACTCTGTGTTTCCACAGACTGTGGAGTATAGTACATCCTGCACTGATGTAAGTTCACTGAACACAAACACACAGACAGCTGTCTTATTGGATGTCCAGCTTCCAGGTCATACACAACATTCTGGTTCGGGCACATCCAATTGAGAGACCCTGGGGTTCACCCAGAGCTCATTGGAGGGATTACATATCCCACATGCCTGGGAATGCCTCGGGATCCCGAAAGAGGAGCTGGAAAGTGCTGCTTGGGAGAGGGAGATCTGGGTCGGCTTTGCTAAGACGCAGATGGATGGATGGAGAAATTCAGATGCACCATCTTCCTTATTTTTAAGCCGCTGCTCACGTTGTATCTCCCTTCACATCAGCAGTGACATTTAGGCTCTTCATCGTGAAAACTTATGACTTTATCATCGTAATGTTACAACTTCTACTCTTGTAACTAACAGACTTTTATTCATTTAACATTTCACCATCATTCTCCAAACACTAAGACTTTTATTTTCAAGTCATTTTATTTTCAACTTTATTTTTGTAACCCTACAACTCTGCACTTGTAGCACAATGACTCATGTTCCTCATAACATTACAGCTGATATACTTCTGATACTACAACTTTATACTTGTTATTTTATGACGTGTTCTTATGACATAACCTTTATTCTTGCATCCTTTTATTAAATATCACTCTAATAATACGACCTTAGTCTTGTACCATTAGGATTTTACATCTGTTACAGTATGGTTACCCTGTGGAGAGTCCTGAGTGATGGCAGGAGCAGCAGCTGGAGGATTCAAAGCCCAGTGCAGGTTCCTCCTGAGCTCCTGCTGGTCCTCAGTGTGGACAAGTTCATACACGCTCTGGTGCATGACATCCGTCTGAGACAGAAATAAAGAAGGGAGGAGTATGAGTGATGCCAAGATGAACAATTCAAAGGTAAAGATATTTAAAAGCAACATGATTCAGAAAATAAATAGACAGAGTGCGTATCATGCAGTTCCTAGAGGTTTCAAGCTAACATGGTTGGTTGTCCTGCGACGTCTTTTTTTGTTGGATCCTGTGGCTTAATTCACCACTGTCTCCAGGATCTGTTTCTATTTAAGGTAACCAGTGCTCAAGTTAAAGACGCCCAGTTTCACCGGGTCAGGCCTGGCTCAGCTGGGATTTCTTTAATGAACACCAAGTACTGGCATCCGTATAAGCTTTTCAGGATCTGTGTCTACACCTTCAGTGAGCGGTGGTTTCACTGTTTCTAACAAGTCAGATGTTGGCTGAAGTCCTGAAGTCACCCGTGCTGCATAGAGCACTATAAACCAAAAGAAGTTTCAGTTGTTTTTTAATCAGTTTTAATTTGGGGCTTTTTAAGAGAACACAGGGAAGTGGAAAGAGCAGGAAATAAGCAGAGATAGAGAGAAAGAGGAGTGACGTGCAGGAAAGGAGCTGCAGGCTGGAATTGAACCCCGCCTGCTTGAGGCATGCCCTCGATATATGGAGCCTGCACTTAAACTGCTCTGCCAGCGGCGCCCCAACTCAGTGGCTTTCAAGGCGTTTGGAGTGATGCACAGTATGAAGAGTCTGAGAGGAAGCTTGCTGAGAGCATGACTCGGATGTTTTTGCGGTCACGGACGCTTTACTCTTGCTGGTAATGGTTTTAGCAAGCACCAGTCGATTGTATGACAAATCTCCCCCTGTAGTGTGTACTTTTCCAAAACACCAGCGCACAGATGCACCCAGCTGTCCAAAGAGTCTCAGTGTGCACTGCTGTGTTAAGCTGTGGGGCAGAGTTGTGTTGTTCACTGCAGCCCACTGCTGTGACTGCTGCTTTATACAAAAGGCCAAGTTATAAATAGGTCAGGTGTTTTTTTTGCCGTTGTTTTACTCTTTGACTCTGCACCATGCAGCGAGTAGAGCAATGGATCAAACAAGACCCCTGTGCTGCTCTCAGCAGATGCTGCACGCAACCCAGCCTACCAGAGCCATCTATCAATGTCTAAAACGGAGCCTGGAGCTGTTTGGATATTACTCATTTTACAGGCCTTTGTAGATTTGGATTTCTGGGTCTACAGGGATACTGCAATTCTCGATATCATATCGAAACTTTTGATGCAACATTTCAACACTGGTTTTTTTAACTTCTCCATTATATTTATCTTAGATTTGGCTCTGTTTCTCTGACTCTCAGCATGGTCATTTTTCAAGAGACCCTTCAACTCCTGTATTCAACAAGATAACTGTCAGTTATACTGTTGTGAAAATACCTGGTGGAAGCCCAAGTAGTCCTGGATGGTGTGGGAGGAGTAGAAGATGGTTCCACCAGCAGTAACGACCAGGACGAAGCCATTGAGAGCCTGTGGGTTATAGTAAACACAGAAACAAAGAGTTAGGGGGGATATAGATCCTTAACTTTTGGTAACAAACGCAACATTTCCCTTTTTGTTTGAGCTTTCAAGAACGAAAATGTAGAATTAAGTTGACATTACCAGATACTCTCTGTGGAAGTGGACATTTCTACTGAAAACGCTTCTTGCACATGTGTAAAATGGGAAAGACGAAAATTAAGATCTAGGAAATGGTAGGAAAAAAGGAGACTAGAATAGATATTTAAAGGGAGATTTTTTGGTGAAATTAAGCGGACTGTGTATTTCTCTGCAAAGAGGAACAGCTGGTCTGTCATTTCCACCTCACTAAAGACCCACGTGCTCTCCCCTGGTATGGCAACATTTGGTAAACAAATATAAACACAAACACAAGCACTCACAGGGCTGTCCTCATACAACCACAAACATCCGCACTCGTACAGTCATCTTGTTCCAAATTTAGCCCACAGAGAGCAGGGTGACTAAAGCTGGAGACGTCATGTTTGTTTCTTTTTGATGATACACCAGAGAACATCACAATTATCTGCCACACTCCCCATGACTAAAAATAAACAGGCAAATGTCAAAGCAGAGTTGATTGTCTAATGAGCCTTAAGTGGACTCTACATTCTGCTTTATGGTATGAAGGTTCCTCTCCCAAAAATAGTTTCCATAAGTTTAATATCACATGCTGAATGTTTGATATTGCAATGTTGCCAAAGTCTGAAATGCAAGAAGTGGAAAAAGGGCACTTTTTCCGTGAGACAGACGCTAGTACTCAGCCTCTACTTCCACCCTCCCAGGTCATTAAAATTGTGGTTAGTTACCCAAAAAAACAACAACTATGAAGTCTAATTAAGACACAGTGCATGTACAGAGCCAACTGTCTCCATCCATCCATCAATTGATGCAAATGTCATCCATCCATCCATCCATCCATCCATCCATCCATCCATCCATCAATCCAACAATCCATTCATCCAACCACTGATACAAATGCTTTAAATACATCCATCCAAATGTCATTCATCCATCCATCCATCCATCCAAATGTCATTCATCCATCCATCCAAATGTCATCCATCCATCCATCAAATGATAGAAATGTCATCCATCCATCCATACACACACTGACCCAAATGTCATCCATCCATCCATCTATCCATTCTTCCATCAAACATCAATCTTGATGTCATCCTGCATTTATCCATCATCCATCCATCCAAATGTCATCCATCTATTCATTCAAATGTCATCCATCCATCCATTCATCCAAATTTCCTCTATCCAACTATTCATCTAACTTTCAAATTAAAGTTATCCATCCATCCATCCATCCTTCCATCCATTTCTTTATCCAGTTTGGGATCCATCATTTCATCTCTCCATCATCCATCCAACCACCCATCCAACTGTCAGTCCATTAATCCATTCATCAGACCATCAATCCATCCAACCCTTCATTAACCACTTCATCCCTCCATCTACCCATCTTAATATCTACTGAAAGATTAATTTACTAATCAATCATTCATGCATTGTCACATACAACTATTGATTAAGAGATTATTCATCAATATATACATCTATACACCAATCTCATGTGTGCCAGTTGCAGAGCAATAATTTTATTGACACCAACACCTTTCACTAATCAATGCATGATTCATTTTTCTGAACAGAGAGCACTCTTGCATAAACACAAACTCAACTCTGTTTTTTAGCACCACCAAAATAAAAAAGTGGAGGTAAGATTTTTAACACAAATCCAGTGAGGTGTTGTTAAATAACTGGCACTAAGTTGACTGATTTCAATTATTAATTTCTTGTGGGATGTTGAATGTCCCCTGTCTTTTTCAGGTAACAAACAGCAGTAGATTCTTGCCTGCACTCAACTGTTGGTGGATTTAGAATAAGTTCTTGTACATTATTTTGGTGTATTGGCATTATTGTGCATCTTTGGCAATTCCTCTATTAATTAGTTGGAATATGGAGAAAAAGAGGTCTCCTACAAGCTACGTGGTGTGAGTGTGATGCTTTTAGATGCTGTCAGAAAAGAGCGATTTTGAAAGAGTGTAATGTCAGTGATGACTAAAAGCCAAAGCACAGTTATTACATAATGAATGTTTCCTCCTTTTTACGAGTGCAAATAATTGATTTGATTACAGTTCCTCAAAAATTCACCACTATCTGATAAGACAGAAACCATCTCTGACTTTGGTTCTCGAATAAATGAAGCATTTGCCATCCATGTCCTCCTCTCATTCTGACGACTAAGAAGGGGGAGGAAGAAGAAGAAGAAGAAGAAGACGAGGAGGAGGAGGAGGAGGAGGTGGAGGAGGCCCCCTCTCTCTCCTTCCTCCAAATGAGCTTTCATTTCTCATTACTAACAGGCAGGGGAAATGTAGGCTTATCATAATAATGAAACCTCCCTGGTAGGCTCGGGTATGGCAGGGAAGGCTGTTTCCTCTCCTCTCCTGGAATGCCAGTGTGATGCACATTGGGAGGAACTGGACTGGAAAATCAATGACTCCAGCAGATCCCAAAAAGATCTGGCAGCCAATCACACAGACAGTGCAGAGGGCACAAAACCGCCATGAACCAGGAGAGATTTTCTTTTCCATGCTTTCACTCGATTGGAAAACAGGTCGGTTGAACGCCTCTTCTTAAAACGCTGAACCCTGACCTGAAATTCCAGCAGTATGTACAGATGAAAGCGCGCAGTTTAGTCGTTGGGTAAACTCTATGAAAAGGAGTTTGACGACCAGAGAAAATATCTGTCCTGTTTGAGATCTGTATCCTACTTTTGGGGTCAAATGGAATGAATTATCACAGAGTTTAAGTTTTAACTTCAGGTTACAACCTATGAGCAAAGCATACAAGTGCAGCTACCAAGACTGAAGTCAAAGTGAAAATAATGGGGATCACTGGATTTCAGTGAGAAGCAAAATAATCCTAGAATAATCGAAAAACTACACACCATACTGATGCTCATGAAAGACTTTCTTACAGCGTTACCCATTATAATGAAAAAGCTTAAAGGAATAAGCACTTTGCAGCTGTCACCTACCCCTAAGTCTAAACAAGATGAGCCAAGCTAAACAAGACTTAACAAGATTTGCAAGCACACTGCAGGAGTATTATTTATTTATGCTCCTTGCTTGTACCTTGGGTGAAAGCCCCTTTATGTATGTTCACTCTGGTGGCCTCTCTAATTTGACTGTTTATTTCAAAGTTGCATTGGTGATTTATACACCTTGTATCATTTTATCAAGGGTTATTACTCCATTATCAATATTATTCTGTCTGAAATAAGAATATTAGAGAATTAAAGTACTTTTTCACCATGTTTTAGTATGTTTGGATAGTTTCCACTGTGATTGTTTTTGCAGTTTCATGTCATAGCTATTTCAAAAATGGTTATTTTACTGGATTTCATCATCTCGTTGCGAAACAAATCTACTTACAGGTAAATCAAAGACACATGAACCCAAAACTTGAGCCATGGTTAAAGGACACAATGTCTGAAAGTTTAGCATTAATTTAGATTTTGGAAAGTCAAGATCATAAAGTTTGTACGTTTGATACCTAAATCTGGTATCAAAAATGACCTTTGATTAAAAGCTGTTTTGAGATGCAAAATAATGGAAATTTAGACATACAGTTGTTCATGCAGCCTGTTGTAATTTACAATTGAAATACTGACATTGATCACAACAAAAAAAAAAAAAAAGCATTTTACAGATGTAGTTCATCTTAAAAAAAAGTAAACTTTTGACATCCTCATTACTGTATTTGATCAACATATCATTTCCAGATGAATGAGCTCATCTCTACCATTTGAATTACCCCTAATAATCACGTGTCTGTTCCAAAGGATCGTCATTAAGTCAGGGTTTATTTTGGGATCGCTTACACCAAACATAGAACTGTTTAGATCACATTCAGATCAGCTGCGGGCTGCGCTGGAATCAACACTAGACTAATGTTTCACGAGGCCACAGCAGACTGTGCCAGACGTATTGAGTGGTAAGCTGCCCTGAGCCTCTGAGCCTCTGTCATTGGCCTAAATAGATTTTGGGTGCTCGTCAGTGAGAAAGAAAAAAATAAAAAATAAAACATGACAACAGTCCAGACACACAAATCAAATCATTGCAGTTGCCGAATAACCAATCTGAGTTCACTGGACGGTTTTGGAAATTAGAAAATTTCAACCACTTGTGCAAAATACGTAATAAAGTTGTCAAATGTTTTTGTTGCTCCACGAGGTAACATCTGATGCCCAACCTACGCACTGAAAAGACAAGTTTAAAAAAGATTGGATTATGTAAAGCAGGGATTACATATATTAACCTTTTTTGGTATATGTCTTATGATTTTATACGTGGAGTTTTCTATGACAAAGACTTCACTGCTTCAAATATAAGGCTTACACCCCCAAAGGGCAAATGTTTTACCATAACATCCCCCCCGTTTCTGATTTGGAAGGGCGCCGTCACTGCATCCTTGGCTGTGAGCCACCCAAGGGCTTTTCTCAGCACTCTATTTATGGCCTCCTCATGTCCTCATCTCCTCTTTCCTTATGTCCTGCTTTCATTCCAAGTCATCAAACATCAACACTTTGTCACAATCTCTACAACTCACAAGGTACCCTTTAGCTTCGGAGAAAATGCAGCATGCTCTGAACCAAAGACAATGTAAACCCATCTGGACTTTGACTTTTAACGTCAGAAATGCAGAAACAAAAGGCTGATGGCAAGCATTACTATTCCAACACACTGTTATTTCTGGTGCCTGTGACTACCGTGAGGGATTAAATATTAAACCAGATGATCTACATCAAGCAAAAGAAACAATGTTTTTCCAACAGCAAATATCTACCATGAGTGATACACTTCAGCATGATGGTAATGTATGAGAACTTTTAACAGAAAACACAATCAGCAGAAATGTAATCAGCACTGCCTCACCAAAATCAACACAGAACAAGAGTCTCTTACTGGAGCTTTAAATAAGAATAACCAGACCACCCTAAAGTCAAGAAAACATTCAGAAAACAGCCAAACCTAAGTGCCATGCAGTCTGTGAGTGAGCAATGTTAAATTGGTTTGCCAAGAGTGCCTAACCCTAGCAGAGCTAGCACCACCAGTCTTTAACTTTTAAGTCTGTGTTTGCTATGCCTTACTTAAATCAAGTTCATCTCCATTTTCTAGATGGAAGCATCAACAAACTTTGCACTACTATGGACCAGCCTGGACACATCCTTTTCTCAGACTTTTCTCTTATGCCCTCTAGGAGGCGCTACTATGCTCCCCCTAGAAAAACAAATAGGTACTCCAACTCATTTAACTCCTCAGCGATCAGGCTGCTAAATGTTAAGTAGTAGCGGATTGGTGACCTGTGTTGGATTTTGGGGTGGTGAAATTGGGGTCTCAGGATTGTCAATTATTTCTTATTGCATTTTAGTCATGCCACTGTTGAATGTATTGCTTCATGTATTTATTATCTATTTATCTATTGCTGATTTGTGGTGCTGACAGGGGAATGTTTGGGTCATATGCTGCTGTGAATGTCTGGTTTTTGTCTGTTCCTTGATTGTCATAACAAGGCGGGTAACTTTGACGTGAATTGTCCTTCCCAGATTAATGAAGTTGTCTGAATCTGAATCATGAGCTGCTATCTGTAATATGCGATTGTTTACATCTAGATAGTGGAGCATTGTAGCATATTGTAGTCACTACTGCTATGACTTAAGGAGGGTTAACTCTACTTTTTGCAATGATCTTACAAGTAACAGAAACATAAATAAAAGAAGAAAAGGCTGGACACTGACCTGCAGTAAAAGTTCTCCTTCAGGAATCTTGCTCTCTGCAGCTCCTGCTGTTTTGCTCTCGTCATCATTCACGCCCGCTGGAGTCGCTCCGTTCCGACTGTTCAGGGCGACTGTGGAGAGGGACAGACAGGGAGGGAAGGAAGGAGAGGTGGGGGAGATGGGGGAGAGGCAGACAAGTTTTAGTCCTGTGATAATGTTTGCAAAGCACTGCTGTGACTGTCAGATTGCCTCATGTTAAAAAAGCCAAAGATGCTGCATGCATGCCAGACCCCTGCTTATTAAAGATTAATCACATGCAATCTGAAAGTCTAATTCACCAAATCCAGGCCTTTTATTTTGTCTAACTCACTTACATCATGGTTTCTATGAATTCAGCACATCAGTGATGCACCGTACATCAGGAAGAGAAATCTACTGTTGTTGTTTTTGGTCTTCTGAGGAGATCTGCAGGCCTACCACTATCCACAGGACAAGCTGAGTCAATGCCACACCTTACATTTAATAAAAATCTGCAAAACAATATTTAATGTGGAACCATTTTGCTAATGCATTTACTGTTGAATTCTTAAGTCATCAATGCAACCCAGACCAGGGTCTTGAAGCTCTGAACTTTAGCATCTTTAGGTTTGTTGTTTTTGGCCAGAAAAGTTATGTTAAGATGTCTGAAGTGAAAATAGGACCTTTAAAAATAAAAGTTTATTTTGCTACTCAAAATATGAAGATGACTCAACTTATTGAGACTTAATTTGCACTAATTTACTGCATGATGCATTTCCACAATAACCTATTGCATGAGTCACATTTGTGTTGCTTAAAAAGTTCTGAAATCAAGTGTTTTGCAACAGGAGGAAACATTTATTCCAAACCTCAGAGGGGTATACATCTTTTCCTTTCTTAATATCTACCTCACAGTAGGTTAAACATTGGTATCATTACTCTGTGGAATAATAAGAGTATAAAGGCGTTACGCTGCTCATGCATATTCTATATTTTATGAAAAAAAAAAAGATTTGCTGTAATTTTTTTTAGTTTTCATGGTGAATGTAAACTTCAAAGTGTGGTCCCAGTTTGTGGCAGTTGAGCAAACTCTTAAAATTAATAATGCTCCCTTGCTCACTCCTCTCTTCTCCTGTCTGTGAAATGACGGTGGTTTTCAAGGACAAGAAGCCCAAGTCATATATCAAGTTCAAACATCAAACTCTCACGTTTACGACAGCTCCTTCAGGCGTCACTATATTTGCACTTCACCGCCTGCTCTGCTCTGCTCGGCTCAACCCCCTCCACCATCAGCACACACACTCTCTCCCCTTACTCTCTTATCCAGTCCCCCCCTCCCTTCCCCCCAGCTCCTCCCCCCGCCCTCCCTGTCCCTGCCTCCTACTCTCTCATTGGCTGGTGGCTCCAGCTGTTCCCATCCTGATGGGATTCTCCCTTTTTCCCAGCATGATGTCATGACTCTTTTCCCCCCTCATCTGTTCGGCTCTGATGGTCAAGAAATACGGAGGAGTTATCAGGCTGAGGGGGCAAATACTGACCGCTACTGGAGGGAAACTTGACCATGAGATCTTGATTTTATGTAAAAACCTGACAGATACAAGATAAGAGTCAGTGAATTTGAAAATAGGACAGTCAGCGTTAGCGTCTTGCACAATGAAAATGCCAAAACTTCTAATTGAACAGCTGAGGGGTGTGTTAAGAAGCCAGATTTTAAGGAACAATCAAGTCCAGTGACGGTAAAGTCAGACCCTTCAGCTGGCTCTCTTCTAATCTAAGCCTGCTCCATTAAACTACAATGAAATACTGTTTCACAGAGCTGGACTTCAATTAATGTTCATTTTAGAGAGAAACCTAGGTTGTTGTTTAAAATTAGAGTTTTTCATATCCATCCATCTTCTCAAACGACTCCTTAAGGTTTCTAATGAATAGATTACTTGATCATCTGTGAAGAAAAAGACTTTTGTCTTTTGGTCTTGAAATTTGACTGTTTTTTTTTAAAGCTTTTGAAGGGATATTCCAGCGTAAAATGAATTTAGGGTCAAACACACCTTAACACCGAGTTAGACACCCCCCCGAGAGACGAGTGTTACTGACCGCTTGCTTCTCTAGTCATACCAACTTTAGTAACGACCGCAGGATAGCAATACAGAGAGTCACACACTCAACCAAAATGCCACTCTATAGCCACGAATAATGCTCAGAACAGCACCTAACTTCATCAACAGTACATATAGTGAGATCCCCGGGCGAGTCCATTGGCTGCAGGGGGGGACACAGCTACAGGAAGAACATTTATGATCATTTTTTCATGGAAATGTAATCAGACAGAGATGCTAAGGCAGAAGAACTACCGCGTCTGCAGTGCAAAATGATCAATATGATGATTATTACTTAAAGGAAATGATAAAGAAATGATCATAAATGTTCTTCCTTGAGCTGCGTCCCCCCCACAGCAGTCAATGGACTCGCGTGAGATCTCCGCTACAAACAAGCGGCTACTGGAGGAAAGTGGGTAAGTGTGTTTATTCTCTTTGCTAAAGAAATTAGGCAAAGCTAAAAGGATGTTTGGTGGCTAGTACTATGGCTGGGACCCTATATGTACTTTGGATGAAGTTAGGTGCTGTTCTGAGCATTATTTGTGGCTATAGAGTAGCTTTATGGTGGAGTGTGTGGCTCTCTGTATTGCTATCTGTGGTCATTACTGAAGTTGGTATAACTACAGAAGCAAGCGGTCGGCAACATTTATCTCTCGATGGGGTGTCTAACTTGGTGTTATGTGTGTTTGACCCTAATTTAATTTTATGCCGTAATATCCCTTTAACCTCCAGTAGCAACACCTGACCTCAGATTATAAACCGATTGATCACACTTGAGTAAATTGAGTCCAATATTGTCAAAATTATTGATAATATCTTTATCTTTAGGCAATGGGCTGCGGTGATGTCATGAGAAAGAGAGCATTGGTCAAGCACATTAATCTCTGACCCTGCAGGAGCATCATGCTATGACCCGTGATGACCTCTGACCCCAGAGGTGATGTATAACATGATTGGGTGACTGGATTCTGGGTCAGATCTTTTGTTGTCTGTAGAAAGGACTTAACAAGAAGTCTATCAGAGGGGTGGGTCGCTGTCAGGAGTTTCAGGCGGACCCCAAAGAGCATATGGGCTTTAAGCTAGGAGGCTCGGACCTTCACACGGGACTCGGCTTTGGTTGGACACCCCTGACCCTATTCCCATGCAGACCTCTTGGATTGACTTTTCGAGGGCCGCTGAGAACAATGTGTGACATAATCCAACATATTGGTAAGCGAGTGGCGTGGGTATCGCATCCCATATGCTGGATACACTCAAGTGTGGTGTTGTTGTCCCACAAAGAAATGCAGGAGATACCCAGGACAGGAAAAATCCTGCTGCATTATTCCAGACAGCTTGGTAAACATGGAAATAAAACATGTGGTTAACTCAGTGCTGCTTCACATATGAAAATTTAATAACTGCAGTCTGAGGGTCTTTGTTGGTCTTTGTTCTGCAGCTCTTCCTTTGTTTAGTCTTCATGATCACCATATTGACCGTGTGAACCTGGAGTAAATGCCGTCGACCTTTTGTTTGTGTAGAAAACACGTTTCTTTTATTAGTTGCTTACGAGTCCTGTCTACATGTTTGGAGATTTAAATTATCAGTTATCACTTTTCACTCATCGATTCTGCTACCATGAAATCAATGAAAGTCCTGATTTTACTCTTTTTAATCGCATCATTTCTTATTACATTTTATTCATACCACTGTGAACATGTATTTATTATCTATTTATTTATTGCTGATTTGTGGTGCTGACAGCAGAATGTTTGGGCCATATGCTGCTGTGAATGTCTGGTATTTGTCTGTTCCTGATCGTTGTCTGTTCCTTGATCATTTAACAACAAGGCGGGTTACTGTGAAGTGAACTGCTCTTCGAGGAGTAATGGAGTTGTCTGAATAACTGAATAACTGCAGATGTCTGACAGTTTTTAAAATACCTGCAGTCTAATATTAAGATCAAGTTTATTTTACATATAAGAAAAGTGCTCCACCGCACACAACGTGGTCAGAATGTGAACTTATTTATTGGTTAAAAGAACAATGCGTTTCACCTCACAGGCTTCATCAGGCTTGCGTGAAGCAAGCAATTGAGGGGTGCTGATAGCTTAACTGTCAGGGTGCGCCGCACATACACAGGTAGCCTGTGTTTGATTCCACATTGTGGCGTGTTAACTACATGTTGTTCCCCCTCTTTCACCTGTTTCTTTCTCTGCCTACTCTCCTCTACAGTATCAGACAATAAACCCTAAAAACGGCCACCAAAAATAAATCTAAAGTTTATGTTATCTCCTCATCATTGCAAAAAAACTCTGTGAGATTTGGACCCAGAATTCCTTTAGCAGGTTTGAAGATAACTGGGATCAATCGCAGGGTTAATATAGCTAAGAAAATAGTAACTGATTGATAATGGGATGTCTATTTTTTGTTTGCGGGTTTGTGGCGATAACCACAATCAAATCTTAGATATTTTATTCATGTGATCAAAAAACTGCAGTCTATCTCTCAGACACAAAGGTCAGTTTATGCTGCAGAGAAAACAGAAGCTGAAATAATAACATTACACAAAAAGTCCCTTCAATGATATGAACACTGCTCCCCTGACATCTGTGTTTCCTCTGTAAAAACATTTCAAACTGACCATGAACACTGTGTTTTGACAGCGGCTGTGTTTGTCTGTTTCATAGCTCGGCTGTGTTTGTTCTCCGCTAGTTTACAGATGAGAAAGCACAGGTACTGCAGCGTCACTCTCATAATCCATCCAGAAAAGTGGGCCAACACAAAGCCTCTTGGATGGCCAGAGGAGGACAAAGAGCAGATCTTGTTATCAAGCTCCAGTGGACACAAGTGTACATGATGAAAAATTTACATTCCCCGCTGCCAGCACATACATGTGGCATAACAGCGCTCCAGCAGTCACCCAGAGGCGTTTTCACTGAATTGAAAAGAACAGCTTGGCTTTCCCAAACATGCTTGTGTTAGCATTAAAGTGCGCAGAAGTTACTGGACGTTAAATAATGTGCATCAAAACACCAAAGTGGACTCTGTTTGCATATTAGGATCAACATTTTCCTCTTTCTTCCTGTGAAATAAAACACACTCTAATTCAGTCACGTTTTAATTTGACCGCATGTTTTGTTTGTCTGCTTACCTACTCTATGTTTCTTTGTTAATCGTACTATAAGGCTTTGTTAAATCATCCACGCTAATTGGTCAATTACAGCATCCTGATGTTTACTATTCCTGAATGGCAGACTGCTTCTGCATCCTAATATAACATGGCTGAAGCTTTAATCTGGAAGACTACATCCAATCCTGTCAATCTATTAATTTAACATCCTAAACAATGTACTGAGTCAAATCAAAATGTGATTAGATCAAATACCTGGAAATGAGCGATCTCCAGAAAGCTGGTTTCATTTGATATCTGAGTCCATTATAGCACTAGATTTAGAAACTTTCCAACGACACATAAACAGAGTGAAAAGAAAGGACTACCTCTGCCAAAAGTTATTTACATACAGTCGTTGTTTTTTGCAGTATGGCTCTGATCTGTCACATACTTACGTGGAGAGCACACCTCTCATCTGCAGCATTGACGACGCCAGGTACGTCACAGAGTCAACTATTATATGACGCTGATAAAATAAAAGTGCATAAAAATAAGGAGCTGGAGGGGTGTGCAGATGGCTGAGTGAATTAGCTCTAGGGCCCGTGAATTATAAGGGGGGAAAAAAATCCAATTACCGATTAATTGGCCGTTTTTTAAATTTTTTTATTAAGTTATAATATATATATATATATATATATATATATATATATATATATATATTGTAGATATCTACAGAATACTATAAACTGCAGATATACTGTAGGCTACTGCTCTTCACGCCAACAGGAAAACCAACTGATCAGACTCGGACCAGAAAAGCGTTTTTAACCGAATCTTATTCTTAACATTTTATCTCTGAAAATATCAGTGAAAATTGGAGAGTTTTGGCCGATTACTGATTAGTCTCAAACAGGCTAAAATTGGACGATTTAATAGGCTCGCCGATAACTCAGTCGGGCCCTAATTAGCGCGCCCCATACATGAGGACTACGGTCCCCACAGTGGTCAGGGGTTTGAGACCAGCCCCGACAGTGTACTGCATGTCCTCCCCTCCCTCTCTCTCTCTCCACATTTCACACTTTCCTATCTATAAAGACAAAAATTGCCAAAAAAAACTACTTGGAAATTACTACTACTACTACTGCTACTACTACTACTACTACTAGTAGGAGCTGGAGAGGATGTGGGCTACAAAGTGGTTTCAGATAAAGTTAAAGTAAAGCTGTTTACATCTGCATTTCACTGAACACACATTCACACAGTATGCTCACACAAACTGCTTCTGCATCATCTTCATCTACTGTTGTAGCATGCATAATATGGTTGTTTGCGACCATTACTGCCTCACCTCTGAACAGAGACACACTCAGAAAGACCACAAAGGTTTAAAGCTAACCACAAAGGCCTTTTAGTGAAAGCTTGGCACTTTCAGAAACTGGCTTCCCTGGAACAGCCGGGCGCTTCTCCAACAAAGTTATGCCAGTAAAAAAAAAAAAAACAAGACCAAAGTTTCGACTGATTTTTTTTTTTCTGGTGGGAGGGTTTCAGGACCATGCAGACACGCCAAAGAGAATAAGGTCCAGTTGCCGACACTCTCAGAGGACAAAACTTTGTGTCCTGGAACTGTGACCCAGAGGCCAGCTTGGCTCTGGTCCCAGCCTTCATCATGGAGCCTGGAGGGTAAAGCTTACTGACACTGCTCCACAGAGAGCCAGACTCGGTCTGGGTTTTCTGGGGTTTATCTCTCAGATGGCTTTTTTCTCCTGGAAGCTGAGCCCCAAAAAACATGTAGCACACTCTAAATATTTTGCAAATATTTGACTGCTTCCAATTTGTCCCACCATGCTATTTACAACGGGATTAGCAGGGATGTTCTGTGCTTGTGCCGCTTCAATTTAATACTCAATCCCTACATGTCATCCTGGAGCCTCTCCAGTGAGGGGACGATGTGTAGCCTTGATAACAAAAACACAAACATGACGCTGCCAAAATAAGACTTAAAGTGCTTGTGACCAATCATAGGAAAGAGTTGGGATAAAGTGTTACTTAACCCCAGTAAAACCAACACCAAGAAGCATTTTCTCTTGTGGGTCAGTTATTTTTGGAGGGATGTAGTTGTGCAGACTTTAGTGAGCTGCTCTGTGATTGACGAGATCAAGCTACGATGTTTTTATAGCATTAAAAGTAGTGGTGGTGGTGGTTTGGAATTGTATGTATTTATAGGTGAATAAACTGATCACATTAACCTTCTTACAAGAGATTGTGGTCAGGGGAAAGTTTTTAATCCTGTTTGAAACTATTATGAGCAACTAAAAAAAGACAGAGACTTAACTTTATTGGAGCTGAATGGGAAGTGACCTGATAAAATCTTAAAATCAGAACTATAGCTCGAGCGTTGATTAGAGAGCTTAACTTTTCCTCTAACTGTAGAGTTAGAAAGGATAGAAAGCGTTTGAAAACACTCCAAAAAAGGAAAAGAATAATCATCACATGAAGCAGATACACCAAACAAACTCTTCCAGTGCATCGGGTCCACGCATGTTCGTATATTGCAACGAATCCAGAAGCGACTACAACAGAGGTTACATAAGGGGAAATGACCGAAGAGAACGTAGCCCACTTTAACCTCAAAAAAGCATCCTTTACCAGTTTAAGAGATTTTCTGGCTTTTGTAAAAAAGCCAAGTGTTTGTGAACAATGTATAACGTAGAATTACACATAGAAGAACATGGAACATTTCCGTTTAATCTGAGGTTCTGTGGCTGGTGTCGTGAATAAAACACAACTATAGCTATTATTAGAAATAGCCCAACGTGCTTTTAAGTAATGTTTATGAAGTAGCATCTCTTAACAAAAATATTATCATGAATTTTTTTTTTTGCCTCTGTAAAACTACTGAGACACGTGACAGAGTATTAGGGCCACATTAAGGAAAAAAAATTAAGACCGTAGTTACTTACGATAATAAAGTCGTAATAAAATCTTTACTTACAAGAATAAACTCGTAATGAAACAATTTCTTACGAGAATAAGTTCTTGGTAATAGCTATTCTAACCTGTTGTTAGTTGTTTAAATGAGTGCTGTGGAGCATTGAGATGAATTGAACTTCAGTAGCTGGTTTCACAAATAAGGAGATACTAAATCCTTTGGTGTTTTAGCATCACATTGTCATAAGTATCAGGACATATGCAAGAAATGCATCTTTTCCACAGAAAGAACCAGGCGGACTTGTAGGGAATCGCTGTTTTTGAGGAGGGGGAAATGGCTGGAAATGGCTGCACAGAGGCTAAATCCCTCAATGCAGCCGTTTATAACAATAGCATATGACTTTAGTTTATCGTATGAATCTATATACCATAAGGTGTTGGTGCCTCTGCAGGCGTAGGTTGCTGCCAGTGTTGTGTCGCATCAGAGACAGACGTGGTGCTCGTTGGAGCTCCACTCTCTCTGAATCACAAATGTTGATCATCAGTTGGATTGTTTCTTGAGAAACCATAAAAGCCCTCTGAATAACCCACTGATGCACCAACTGATAAACTCTGCAGTTGACCAGTTCAGCCATTTCCCCCTCCACAAAAGCAGCTTTAGGACTTAATTTACTTTGCAACTTTATTCTTGTAAATAATGATTTTGTTACGACTTTATTCTTGTTCGTAATAACTTTAATCTCAAAGTCTTAAATTTTTTTTGTTAATGTGGCCCTAACACTTCATCGTAAACATGTAACGCAGAACAACACATGGAAGAACATGGTACGTTTCTGTTTAACCGGAGGTTTTGTGGCTGGCGTCACAAATAAAAAACAACTATGGTAATTCTTAGAAATAGCCCAACGTGCTTTTAAGTAAAGTTTATAAAGTAATGTCTCTTATCCCTTATCTCAGATTTTTTTATTTGACTGATAGGGTTGTTTGTCTGATGTTTACCATGAATATTGCAAAATATTATAATGAAATTTTTTTGTCTCTGTAAAACTACAGTCATGAATATTTTTGAAAATGTTTAATGGGAATTTTAAAAGAGAAGCTAAATGTGGGTGAGATTTTGTATTTTTTAAAGTTATGACACTGTTCCAATATCTTAACCAGTGTTGTTTTTATAGACTTTAACCAAGCTGAGAGCTTTGATCGTTTAGCACTATCTAATGTGTGAAGTAATATTAAGAGTTGTATTTCCAAAGTTTTCTGTTTCTAATACAGAATTCAAATGGTAAAAAAAATAGAATACAAACTAGATGAAAAATAGTCCTCACCCCATCCTCCACAGTCAGTGAGTAAGCCATGTTTTTATACTGTAGTACTCCACATTAACATGTTTGTTTCTCACACATTTTGCACGTCCCTGCTGTCACGTAGCAGGAGTCTGAATCATCAAACAGGGCTATATTTGGACGTCATTAATGCAGCGTATTAAGAGAGGGGAGGGGGATCGAGGGGGGGTTTACAGAGGCGCAGTGACAGAGACCCGTGGTATCGGTCATCCTCAGCTGTTGTGTTAATACTCACGATTAAGAGACACGCCCCGCACACATGGCCTATACTGCTAATGTATGTGTCGGAGGGCGGTCGGCGCTGCAGTTTGTTTTGGATCCATGCCAGGGCCGATTTAGACCGCAGGCAGCGAGGGACATAAGGATTTACTTTCACTTTCATCGCCGAGGATCCTGAACGGGCAAAGACAACAGCAAAAATCACACCCGACTCATACCATGTTGGTTATTTATGTAAAAAATGGAAGAATGGACTATGTTGACTGAATTATTGCTTTATTTCAGCAGCTAACTTAGTTTAAAAAGGTTTTCAGCGGGAAAAGAAATTGAACTATTTTCATGCTCTTTTTCAAAATCAGTAAAGGAAATAAGAATTTTGTTTACTGAAAATTCTTCCCCCGCATATGAAGTGTAACTTTAGCATCAAACTCAGGGATACAGAGATTATTAGATCAGGTTAACTTTGTGTGCATGTAACAGCTTATTCTGAAACTTCTTTTTCTGATTCTTCTTATTCAAAACCTGGATAAGCCCCATAACCTCGTTCTTTTTTTAAATGTTTAAAAGTATGAAGCCGAATATTAATGAAGGAAGAAGATATGATGTAAAAAATGCTAACGGACTCCTGGGTAAAAATTAACTTCAACAACATGTCCTATTACAGTTTGCATGCGTACACACATTTTGACTGCAGGGTTAAACTCTATAACCTTTATGACCAGCATCATACTTAATAAGTTATTAATGATACACTTCAGAAGTACTTTTAGTTTCTGGTTGCATGAGCTCTGCTGCAGTTTAACCTGCCTGCTGGGTTTTCATTTTCTGCGTTATTAATAGCTGCTAAGTCGAGTTTACTCTTGGAGTTTGACTTTTTTTTTTCCATCTGTGTACGATTTCATTCCTCATCGCTCTTAGGCATAATTCACTCACATGTTTTATGAATTGGTTGCTCCTTGTTGGCTGTAAAATAGAAAATTAGCACTTTGAATCGTAGAGTAACTTGTGGTATATGTCTCAGAGGTGAGAAAATGATCCTAACACTGCTCTAAGTCTTCATTTCTCTGCTTGGCTCAGGTGTTAATCTGCACAGCAGAAAGCCAGCAGCCAATCAGGGAGCGGAGTTCAAACTGGCGATGCTGTAGCTGCAGAGGAAGAGCTCTGGATGCAGATTAGTTTTGACAATTGCCGTGCTGTATGTGTGTCCATGCATGTGTTCTCGTTTTACAATGTTGTGCTAAAATAAGACTCCATCCCTTTATATCAACCCTACCAACCACTGCATGCATTCGCTGCTGTTGATCATCTTTTAGTTTTTAGTGGAACCATTTTCAACAGATTATTTTATGATTTGTAATCGGCATAACTGTACATAACCTGTCTGATATGTACACAACTGAAAAAATATGATCAAGCTGTTTTTTTTGTCACAAGAAAACCAAACTAAAATTAGCTTTTGTTTCGTAGTGCTGTCAAAAATCTCAAAGCTGAAAACCTGGTTTTAGCTGTAACAGTGTATGTCAGCCAATTGTTGACATATGTACTTACTGTGATGTTTTTATTTTATTGTTTGGAACTTCATACTCATCTTACATTATCATTCCACTAACAAGCTCCTATATCATGTATTTATAGGAGGGAATGCAGAAGAGCAACTTTATAATAGGAGTCAAGGGAGGCCTAAGGGCGCCCGGGTTAAAAAAACACATAAACACACAAAAAAACCCTGAATCTACATTGTAACTGCAGTTTATTTATTTTATCCACCTGGTAAAAATATTGACTACATTTGAAAAAATTTAAACCTCAATCTGCTTTTTTTTTTTTTTTTTTTTTAAAAGATATTACTCAATAATACGGCACCATTCTCCTTGTCGAGGGTGGTGGGGCAACCCCCTATAGTGCCCCCTATTGACCAGCAGCCACTGAACATGAGAACTAAGTTATATTATGTGTAAGAATCTTAATTTCAGGCTAAGGCAAACTTCTCCCTGCTAAAAATAGGGCAGCTGTCACTCAGTGGTAAAGTTGATTGTCTCTCTATCAGAAGGTCGGTAGTTTTATCCCAGGGCTACCCAGATGCTGAAGTGTCCTTGGGCAAGACACTTGACCCCAGCTGCCCCCACTTGCTGAGCCCAGTGGTGTGTGAATGAGACTAGTCTAAAACAGATGACCTCTACACATAGTAGCCTCTGCCATCAGTGTGTGAATGGATGAATGTGAGATGTAATGTAAAAGTGCTTAAAGTGGACGGTAGAACAGAGAAAGCATGATACATAAATAGTCTATTTAAACTAACATATACAGTAGTTAAATAGCAGAAAGGCAGCCAGCTAGGATTTAGGAATAATACTGACTATACTGTTTTAAAATTCTGAATCTTCTGAAATAGATTGGAAATTTATCTTTTGTTAAATTTGAAGGTTAGATAAAGCATAACTTATCTAATAATCTTTCTCCATGAAAATTGAGTTTTTTTTAATAAATATTTTTACAGGTTTAATCTAGCAATCTCATTTTTTTGGAGGTGGCCTGAAAACTTTGATGTAGTGGAAAATTTTTAAATAATGAGTTTCCTTACTTTACAGAAAATATATCAAACTTAGACATTAAAACCAAGAACCATACCAGACTGAAATCTGATCTACCATTACACCCCTAACTACAGTGCAAAACAGTGTCATTTAATCAGTTTATTATCTTCATCAAGTGATTCATGAAACCATAGCATTTGCCACCAAAAGCTGACACTTCTGCATGGCAGTCATTATATTGTATTTCTTAAGTTTCTTCTATAGTTTTCATCAGCTGTTTAATCGAAAATCTTTCAGATTGATCAACAAGAATCGATTTTGGGGGTTAATTTTCACTTAATCATGACGTAAAATTTGTCCATTCTGTGTGAATTTATTCCTGCTTTCTTTATCTTTCTTCATCACATCATATACAGTATGTTTTTTTTTTAAAATGTGGTTACTGCGATCTGCCTTTTTAAAAGCTTTATAACAATACTATATAGCTCTGAAGCGAAGTATTAAGCGTCTAAAAGCAGACATCAACTGCAGCACAGTCGTGATTATTCGTATATGTCCTCTGTGTGCAGGACAGAGAGCTAAAGACTGAGCGTGTGTGTCAGCACGTAGACATGCAGCCACACACAACAGCACAGCTCAGTGCATGCATGCAGTATGTGTGTGAGTGTGTTTGTGTGTTAATTATTCTAGCAGAGTGTGAATGGCAGCGAGTAAATATAGAATGTTTCAACTCCTTCACCCCCTGAACACTGCAGCAAATGAACACGCGATGCACACATACATACCTCCCCCACATCAGGGAACATACACATGGATGCACGCAACACACACATGCAGGCACACATATAGAGACTGAACATGAACACGCGGCCGCTAATGCAGGGGGGGAAGCACGCACCCTTTGCTGCTTTCGTGTCTCCCGAGGTTTCTCGATCACATGGTTGCATATTTGCTTATGAGGGGCGATCCAGAGAGGTGGGAGGGGGGTTGAGGGGCGAGTGATGGGGATTTGGGCGGAGTAGGGCTGGGAGGGGTCACTACTGATTACCAGGTTTTCCCTTTGGTGGCCTGCATTCCTCACTGTGCCGTATCGTGATCAGCAGGGCTGGGGGGGGAGGTGGATTGGGCGAGGGGGGTTTAAGCCCAGGAGGAGAAGGACGGAGGGAAGGACGGGCAGAGAGGAGGGGAGGGTGGAGGGTGAGGAGGGTTGCCATGGAGGGATGACCCACTGCTGATCATGCCTTTTTCATTTGTGTGCACATAGATGACCCACAGGAAGGAGGGGGAGGGGAGGCGGGGTTTTCAGATAGCAAATCATCGCCCTCAGTTGGAGAGAAACAGTGACAGGTAGCCTGATGTGTCACATGACTTTCAAAACAGCCACACAGCTTATGTAACCAATCCTCGGGCAGCAGCGGGCAGCAGCAGCAGCAGCAGCAGCACATCATGCTATAGAAACGGCTGCAGCTCAGGCATGTTTCCAGCTGTGTGCAAATCCTCTGCGTGCAGTGTCACTGCAGCTTTGCTTATACATTAATTCTATTGGAAAGAAGTGATATAATAGGAGCTGGATAGTAAACTGCCGATCAGAATGAATCTCACCTGCTTCAGCTACATAATGAGAAATTCTGCTGGAAATTAACGATGAACTTGTATCACAAAAAAAGAGAGAGGTTGTTGGAGATTATGGGGGATAAAAAGCTGCAAATTGATGCAAAAGTTTAAGAAACTCCCAGTTCATGGTGCCTTTAGCCTGCTTTGTTCTTCTGCATCAGATCTGCACATGCTAAAGACCTGCACAGCCCGGCATCTATGTAGAAGCCTGGGTACACAGACTGAGTTAAGCCTCCTACAAAATGTAACTTACAGGTCTTCACAGCCTAGACCACAAGCATTGCAATCGGTTTCAACATTTACAGCATCCCCAAAATCATCGCTCATATGCGGTCGATTCAATCTCCTTCAACATCTCCTTTCTCTTCCATACAAAAACTACTGATCAGCTCATGCTCAACATTTATCAGCTCAACCCCCAACATAAATGTATGTTGCTGAAAGGATGTTATTTCCCCTAAAGGCCCAAAGGATTGTTTAACGTTTAAATTCATTGCGTATTTTAGACATGACTTGAATCCACTCATTAAAATGAAGGGTGGACTCACAATTATGTCCATTAGACATTAAACATAAGACATTACTCATATTTTGTTCGGTTAAGACGAGGACTGTTTTTCAAAACATAATCGCAATTTAATTACATGCGCAAAATTCCATAATTTTCTGTTTTAATAACAATGTTTTAGTCCATATTTTACAAGTCCCTAGATTTGAGAACCAAACGAATGCAATGACATCGAATCAATGATTTTGACTTAAGGATCTATTATCGAAATGAATGTTGCATTCAAAGTGCTAACTCTGTCAAAAGGGGTTTAAATTTAATGTTTTAAAGACTGACATATTAAGATATGTTCAGGAGTGCATGTATGAAATGTCAGATTCGATGTGCAGTTATTCCGAGATAACTTTGATTACTCACTGACTGCCTGTGATCCCTGGATAATGCATCATCCCAGAGTCGCAGACTGATTACTTTGTATGCTTTTTCAATTTAATTCCATCCACAGATCTGTAAAACCTCACTCCCCAACTCTACGCCACTGCGCTGCTGGCTTATGAGATACGGTTTCATGGTGTGATACGGTTTGTTTTCCATCATGGCGGATTTGGCGTCAATGAACTTATCACTGAATTAGTTTGAACTGATTGATAATAATTCATCATCATCATTTCTTTCAAACTAAAAGATAGCTCAGGGTTACTTTATGTGTGCGACAGAGCTACACTCTGCCAGAGTCAGAGCAGTGTTTTACATAATTCATCATATCCATGTCCTGATCCAGGGGGAGTTGCATAATGTGTGTGCGCCGTGTAGGTCCATGTTTGCCATCTCTCTATTAATGGAAGACATTTTATGTCATTGTCTTTATAAGAGATTTAATGGTCTTCCATATGGAAACTTGTGAAAGATTAATTTCCACTTTGCTGCCATGCTGATGTCACTGTCTGCCATGCTCTTTTGTTCTCCGTGGCTCAGGAGGAGGCGGGAATTGAAGGGGCAAAGAGGACAGTTTGGGTCTTAACCAAAACCGTGACTTAAACGTGACATAAAAATTAGCATCTGACAATATTTTCTCATTTACAGAGCAGTTCTACCTTTGGTTATGCACCCAAAATACTGTCAACTTTACAAAGAGCAACCATTAAAATAACATCTAGATGTACATTAAATGGTCCGTCATTGATAAACTGACCTTATCCCTTGTGTCTTTTCATGTCAGCTGGGTCAAAATCATCAAAAAGGAGTCACCAAAAAAATCTAAAAGGTCCAAAACTAACAATGAAGATGCCAAAACACTTCAGCTGCATATGTTCCTATGTTTGTGTCCCATTTTACACAACACCTCAGAACCATGGGTCAGAGAAAAATACTGGTTGATGCATCATTATGTATAGGAAACGGCACTACCTTATGATGCATGTCAACTTTAGGCAACAGTGGAAATCAGATTAAGGCCCCATATGATGAAAAACATGTTTTTCAGTCATCCAGTCAGCATAACAACCCTGAGAATGAGACCTGAGAAAGCCTGAGCATTGTTCTTAAAGCCCACCTACTGAGAAAACAGCCTCTACAAGCCAACTTGACTCAGCTCCTGAGGTGGTGTAACAACAGGAGCTGAGAAAATAGGCAGGCATGCATAACCAGACCTACTCCTTGAGCAATCCCGCTTCCTCCTATGCTAACCAGGTAGCAACTCATCACCGACAGTTAAAGGGATATACCGGCGTAAAATTAATTTAGGTAGGAAAACACATGGTAACACTGAGTTAGACACCCCCTTGAGAGATAAATGTTGCCGACCGCTTGCTTCTCTAGTGATACCAACTTTAGTAACGACCACACAAAAGCAATACACAGTGGTCTGAGGAGCCAAACACAAACCTCAACCAAAACGCCACTCTGTAGCCACAAATAATGCTCAGAACAGCACCTAACTTCATCAACAGTACATGTAGGGTCCCAGCCATAGTACTAACCACCAAACATCTTTTTGGCTTTACCTAATTTCTGTAGCAAAGAGACTAAACACAACTCACCTACCCTCTTCTAGCAGCCACTTGTTTGTAGTGAGGCCTCGGGCCAGTCCATTACGGACTACAGTGGGGTGACGCGGCTCAAGGAAGAACATTTATGATCATTTCTTCATGGAAATGCAATCAGACCGAGATGCTAAGACAGCAGAACTACAGTGCAAAATGATTAATATGGGGATTTTTACGTCAAGGAAATGATAAAGAAAGGATCATAAATGTTTTTCCTTGAGCTTTCTTTAACTCTGTGTTACGGTGTTACTTTAAGGACAAAAAGTCAGTGAATGAGTTATAACACTTGAGTTTTCATTGCAATACTTGCACAGTTTCCTCCTCCCATACAAGGCCAGATTCTGGATCATATGTTTGGTGTACTGGCATATGTTCTGGTGTGCTCACTGGTGTTTTCCAGCCTCTGCAGTCATCTGTACCTGTAAACCTCAACTTTATCTTAAGTGACTTGCAGCAACTTTGCACTTGAGTATGTTATCTGGATTTGCGAGGAGATCCCTGTTTACCCTGAAACAACCAAATTTAGTAGCATTAAAAATTCAATAATGAGCAATTCTACTGCTCTTAACTTGTACTGCTCTTTCTGGAAATCCCACACTAACCCACATTGTTATACACAGACCCACCAGGCAAGTGTGTCCCTCTGCAGTCACAGGGATTATTTCTTCTAATCTCCATCTATATTTACAATGGAGTGTATCTAAACGAGGTGCAGTGCACTTTAACAACAGGCCTGCTGCTGTGGTGAAAACACAGGATTAATCATCATTTCATATCCTGCCCACTTCAGGTTTAAACTCTGGTCTGTGAACTACAGTGTTCTCTGAAACTCCCCACACAATAATAACCATCTGACATGCATCTGCGCAGAGTGCCGGTTACGCAACAGACCGTCACGTGACGGCAGGTTGGATTCTTGCAGGCTGGGTTTAAAAACTCAGAGAGCTTTTTCCAGGATGACCAGGGAAGAACTAGAAAGGATCGCCGGGTAATGGATTGAGCACAGGAAAAGGAAAAATTGCAAGTGAGCCATTTGGCCTCAAGGAATGTTGAATCAGCCAAGAGAGCCCTTATAGGCTTAACTGTATCATCCAGGATCCAATTAGGGGAAACAACACAACACAGCACAATTAGTAACAAAACAATGACCCTTCGCTTTAGGGAAATGACCATGACCATGCTGTCAAACATGCAGAGTTGAATACGGAGTCAAAGTGCAGAACCAGGCTTGCAGGAGTCTTATGATACTGATTTATCCTTATGTTAAGTTAGGTAAGCAGCTTTCTAATAATTACATCAAGACAACAAAAGCAAGTGCTAATCAGGTAAGTCACTGTTCCTTTTTTTATCTTCTGTGATCCTAAAAAAAGCAAACAGATTTTAACAGATGTACGCCAATCAGGGCTGTCGTAATACACTCATGATGACAAAAACACACTTTCAGACAATACTGATAAAACAGTTAAAGATATCATATTTTCACAGTACAGTTATTGTGGCCATAACATATCACAATGAAATATCAATGCTACATTCACAATTAGCAATTAGCATGTCATCATCCATTTCTAATGATGTTCAAATTTATGGTTTGTCCACAACACCAGCCAAACATTGCCTCATTAAACCATTTTTTTTCATGCTTTTATTTTGGTATTTTTTCTGACTTCTATTTGGATTGCCTTGTTTTCCCTAATGTAAACCTAAGCTTTTATTTTGAAGTTTACTACTTCCAGTAGGTGGTAAATCACAAGACCGAGGGATAACATTTAAAAGAACGATTAGAGCTGAAAAGACACAAGCTCTGAAGTCATTTTTTGGATTCACAATAAATCTTGGAGGATTTATTGTGATTGTGGAGGATGAGGAAAAAAAATGTAATATCATAATAGCCCTTTGCCTAATGTTGGTGCAATTAAAAAAAGATGATCGAGCAGATGTAGCACAATGCAAGGGAGGTCAGGGAATTTCCTAAACTTTGAATAATTTCAAGTTACAAGATGTCCATATCAGCACCTTGGCATACAAACTGGAAAGCTCACCCCACACATGGTAAACGGGCAGAAAGGAGACAAATACTAAGAGGCGTATCAGTGATTCTCCATGCTAAATTAGCTTTGACAGTGCTAGCACTGCTGGAAACCCTGCATGTGGCCTGTTGAGGTCAAAATGTCACAAAAGCACCAGGGAGGTGCTGTTACCGAATGACACATCAGAGGAAAACATTGCAATGCTTTGACATCTATTTTCTTGTGACCGAGTTACAAATTAATACCCAGACATATTTCCATGTTAAACCCACAGTTGCGTTGTCACGCATGGAGCATAAATGATCCAAAAGACAGACAACAGCTGTGAAGATGGCTCTTACGGTTGAGAGCTTCCTCGCACTCAGAGTGGGGGTGATCCCCTCGTTTTATCGGTTTTAGGAAAGAGTCGCCACCCCTCTCCTAGGACTGGCTGAGAGGGTCGAGCCTATTGTAGCACCCTAACAATAACAAAGATGGCAGCTGGGCTGGATAATACTGTCAGGAAGATTAACCAGAGCTCTGCCAGGGCTTTGTTCAACTCATACGCCATATTCAGTTACACGCACAGCAACTCGTGATTGTTTGGGTACAACAAACTTAGCTGAAAAACTTAAAGAGCAGCAGAAAAAGGCTCTACAGCGCGATGAAATTCTGATGCTTTTTAATATTTGATGGCAGGGAGCCTCTCTCGGCGTTTAGCAGCTCTTCCGAACATCGGAATAGAAACAACAGCAGAAGCAGTGGGAGCATTACCCGAGTTACTCATCACTCAAAACAGACCACCCACTTTAGATCCCTCTGACAAGCAGGATAGTTTACGCCATTTACAAACAACAGTTAACAGCTGACCACAGAATCAGCCCAGAGCGATGGGCCCTCAGGGTCCTCAGAGCCGCTTCTTCAATGTAAGAGCCCTGAGCTCGTTAATTACTTAAAGACTGTCCCGGAAGTAGGCTAATGCAGTTAGACAAGAGGGTTAGTCTATAGGCTACACTTTGACCTATGCTGCTGAAATCCACTATTAATAATTCACTGTGACAGGAGCGGCCAGAAATTACTTCCATATGTTGTTGAAGGGGAATAATAAAAACAACTTCTACTGATAGTTCTGTCACAACAGGCGCAGGAGGGAGGAGTCAGCAGGGTCTTAAGCTCCATCTGTGCCCAGCGTTGGCCTTATAACCTCTCAGTCATTTTGTAATGGAGAACTGTTTACGAGATAAAAAATGTAATGTTATACCGGATAAATCCAAATGGCTCTTGTGGGGTGTTTTTCTCTCCATGCTGATGCCTCTTTTGCTGAAGTAGTGGCACAGAAAAAACAATACACTGTCAGGGAAAACCCTTCAATTGATTTTGAAAAGTCAAACTTTACTCTGTACCAAAAAGACAGTAAAAAGGTGGCTCTAATACTGGCAGGAGGAGGATTACCAACCATAAATCAACTAGCATTATGGTCTCCTATAAGTAAATGAGGAAGATGTCTAGAGAAATCCACATCACATTGAGGAACAAGAGGAAAGAGGACTTTGCTCATTATACTGGCTTTATAAATGAAAATAAATATAGAAACAACAATGAAAATAAAATATACAGGGAAAAACTTGGGCAGCAACATAGCCCTTAATGTCTGGAAACACTTGTAAATAATTATATTTACAGGGGTCTGCCTATCCCCCTCTGCCTTCCACTGTATAGACGGGTTTCTTGTGTACAAACGATACTAGGTGCAACCATGGGGCAAAAGCCTGCTTCGGAGTGAACTGACATCAATGAAGATGCCGTATTGTTTCTCCCTGATACAATTGCAATAAAATGTCATTTCATTGAAAAATCGCTTTGTCTTTCACTGCATCAACATCAGAAAAACACTGAAACGCTGACATATCCATTAGTTTCACTCAATTTACCAGGTTGTGACGTTGTTTTAGATGTTTCTAATATCAGGAGCAGGGTTGTAACAGCTCCTGTCATTTTCTTTCTCTGTTGACTACGCTAGTAAACAAATAAGAAATGTCCCACTTTCTGCCCCAAGGCTGCGCATGCATACATGCGATGATGTTGCCCAGAAATCTGTCTATTAGACGTGGTGTCTAACAGTGCATGGTCATAATAATAATTTATTTTATACATTAAAAATTGTTTGATTTAATTCATTGAGTTTTACAATACTGTATTCTCTTATTGCTAGTACATGTAGGTTATTGAGTATACATGGCTAATCTAGGCCTGTGTCTTATTTTTATACATGGAAATCCAGGAAATCATTGGACAAAATGACTGATGTAAAAAATAATAATAATACAATCACCATAAACTTTGCAGCTAATATGACAGAAACATAAAAATGTCAAACACGATGAAGACAATGAAGAGGACTGCACTAACATTGCTGTGAGCTACTCTCTTATGCTACCTGCCTCAGGCTAAAGCTGGTGACAGCGGACGGGCAGCTGCTAGCAAAACAGGAATTGAGTGATACTCTCTCTTTCAAATCTCCATTTCACCAATTTTACAAATCTTTTTCACATTTTGCAACTCCACAGATAGATTTAATGAGACAAAAATGTGGGTTTCCAATAATGTGGGTTGTCGTTTCCTACATTTTACAACTGCACTCAGTTCATTAGTGCTAGCTATACGGTTAGGTGAGTTTTAGCTTTGCATTCAGAACGAATACTCTTCTTCTCTGCTGCCTCAGAGTGAAGTCATCGGTTGATTTTCTTTCCTCGGGGCATCTGAAGCCTCAACATACTCACAACATATGAACCCAGCAGCCACACAGCGCACACACAGTTAAAGAAAAAAGAAATGCACTCACAACATATCCGCCTAAAAACACACCCCTACTGTATCACCGCTGCTGTATCCTGTCAGTCTTACCCCAAACAGCCATTTCCAACAGCCGCTGCCTTAAACAAACATTGCTCTGCCTCCATTTCATAAATTCTTTAAACTCCAGGGTTTCTCTCAATTATTCATGCTTCAAGAGCATCCGACGGCCGCATTGCAGCAGATCACCGCCTAAAATAACAATGTCTTCACTCTGCATAGTAGAAAAGACTGTACACATCAAACCCGCTGGCATGCGATTTTCTTTCAATCCTTTGGCGTACGGTTTTAACGGGAACCGAGCATCAAATGAGTGATGTCACGTATGCATACATAGACGGGGGTCTCAATGAAATATTGAGGCCCTTTTCCCCCCCTATGATGAAACCATCCGAGTGAGGCGGTGGCTGGGTGCTCTTCTCTTTCCGAGTGTGGTGGTTTCCACAGCTTTGGTTGATGAGATGAGCCGTGAGATGTTGGGAAACACATCCAGCACAAACACAGAGCCGGCGACTCGGATGTTGTGACATTCTGGAAATGGTTGGAGGGACCGAAGCAATAACTAGGGGCATTTAGAAACAGCCACCCACTCCAAACTGTTCCCTCATGCTTGAATGTAGGTCAACTCATTGCTCCTCATTACAAACACACAACGCCGCTAAAGACGATTAAAAGCTGTTGGGATTTGTTGTACAGTTATTCATTATAAGAACAATTCTGGGAAGCCTTGGTGTGCCAGACAAAACAAAGAGCTAAAACTGACCTTTGTGTGTTTCAGTTAAAGGCTGGTCAAGGTCCAGACTACTTCCAAGAGGGGTAACAAGAGAAAATCACAAGCTTTACTTTCCCAAAGTAAGATCTTTGAGCAACTTTGTCTCGGTTTGTTGAGACGTTGAGAACCTTATTTCTTATACAAACACTTAGATCTATTCCAGTTAAGAGTTTCACCCCTCTATGTCTAGTTTAGAGGTTGAGCCAGCTGAAGGTGTGTTTTCATCATGCTGCTCAGTGCGGTTCATTACAGCTCGGTATGGTTTCTCAGGGAAAGCCAAATGCACTCTGGCGTGTTAGCTGCACGAACGGCTTGATTTTCAATTTGGCGTGAATTTTAACAGATCAGACCATTCACAGTGACGGCGCAAACAGCACGAATCATGGGTCAAAAGTCTCGAGAACAAAGGACTGATTTTCTTTTTCTCTTTTGTCGGTGTCGGACACAGAAAAATAATAAGCTAAGGATGGTACCAGCTCTGTATCAGCGACAATCAGGCCACTAGCATGCGAAATACAGTGTGGTAGCACTTCCTGGTCACTCTCCAAAGCAAAAGCTTGATCTCTTTTTGTTCCCTGTGAATAGACTTCCTTTGTTTTCACAAAGTACTTTCACTCTGTCCGGGTCCATCTGTATCAAGGACTTTTATTTGAAGAAAATGAGTCACTTGCACAGCTCTTTATTAAGACTTTAATGCACTTCGTCTGACATAAGCTGTCATGAGTCATGTTAGCTGCAGGTTATTTATATTACCTAGTAAATGACATTGATTGACAGGATATTTCTTGCTGTGTAATCTCCCTCTCCCTTTGCAGCGATCTCTGTGTACCTCTCACTGCTCAGCTCATGTCTTTGAGTAAATGAAACCCCCATTTTTAAACCAGATTGTCTCCTGATATGACTAACCTAAAAGCATACCCTGATATAAAAAAAACATGTACATAAACTGAATTTCACTGATCAAGCAACATCAGTTTAATGGAGATATGGTCCAGTAGGCCAAATTTTTTTTTTGTAGGATGGTAGGGGAAGGTCCCGCCTTCCTTCACCTCTGATTGGCTAGAAGTACTGGGCTCTGATTGGTTATTCCTAATGGCTATGAAACGTCATTGGAGATTCAGAAGTGCGATGATGTTCTGTAATGTTCTGTTTTATGTACAGAGCCGACAGCCCGCGTTTGGCTTGAGCGTGTGATGACGTTTCCAGCTCTTCTAGCCAATCAGAGGCAAAGAAGGCGGGACTTTCCCCTACCATCCTACAAAAAAAAAATTTTGCATCCAGTAGGAAACTTCTCTCTCTTAATCAAGGGGTTGCGGTGTATTCAGCTTCGGCTTCAGGGTTGGACGGCTATGCTTGGTACCCCAACAGTAGGGTGCTAAAAAAGTGTTCGGCTAAACTTGCGTCACTTTATCCCTGTGACCTGGACACATGAGCAACTGCAGCTCATTCATTAAACATTGATTTTTTCTGGGTTTCATGGCAATAAATGATTTCCCAAAACAACCCCACTAATTAGAAACAAGACCGTAACAGACATGATCGATGAATTTGTGCAACTGCTCTTCTGCAAAAGAGCCGATCCAATAACAAACACGTAGAGAGGAAGGAGGAATTCAACTCTCACAGATGAGACCAAAGATGAGACCATGCAGCGCAGTTACGATCAGAGATCGTTTCATTCAACCTACCTGAGAAGAAGTTCTTGGCTCGCAGGTAGCTGACACTCAGGCGCAGGATGGAGAGTTTGTCCAGACTAGCGGTGACCTCTTCAGGGAACGGCAGCAGGCTGGCCAGCCGCTCCAGCTCCCCATTCAGCCGGTCTCGGTGCCGTTTGGACGGGTTGGATTTGGCCCCTTCTGCAGGTGGCTGTTTCACCCTAATAAGCATTGAAAAAGAGGACAAATGCCAAAATTTAAATAATGTGCATTTATTATGAATTCTTTAGAGGGAAACCAAAAAATGGACCTCATTTTGGCCTCTTTTCAGAATGTTTTAGACCTAATTTTGGATGGGTTGGTTAGCTGGTGTTAAGTTATTTGTGTTGTTCCTGCAAACTTGTCTCATTCATATCCAAAACATTGTTAAGTCAGCTATATTTGGAGATTTCCACAAATTTTAGACTAAGTTGGAAAGAGTGATTTAAAGTTATCTTTGGTTTATCTTTCAGGTTTTATATAAGGATTTATTCATTCATTCAAAAAAATCTATAATCAAAGTTCAGCCAGTATTCAGGATTATTCTCATGAGTACTGAATTCACTCTACCTTTGTCTGTTTTGTGCACCAGCACTACATTGTGTTTTACACACACTCCTTTAACCAGGACCAACCATCTCCCAAAATATCAAAAGTGTCAAAGAAAATTTGGGGCAAATGTGTGACCGAGATTCACAAAAGTTAAATAAAATATTTCACAGTGAATAAAATGTAAAAGCTTTTACTATCAGCAAGGAGGAATCATTTTTGTGTTTACCACAAATTGTGGAGGCCTATAGAGAGGCTAGCTGTTGATGTAATAAATATATACTTATACACCATATGTAAAATATTAAAAAGTAATAAATGGCTTCCATATTTTGTGGACGGTTTCACTTCATCGTTCAAATTTGATTTTTAATTTGGCAAATAAAAATAAATGAATAAATAAATAAACTTTTTCAGTGTTGTAAAAAGAAAAAACAAAAAACCTTGAACAAATCTACAAACCAGTTTTGGTTCAGAATTGCAGTTAAGCATCACATATTGCAGCTTTAATGACTTGTTGATAATAAACAAACTTAGATCCACATAAACTTTTTTTTTGCATTTAAATAAAGTGCAAAATATGCAAATATGGGAAAATGGATAAAATGACTGAATGATGTAGGAAGTCCAAAAGATTTGAAACTTCTGTCTTTGTTTACTTGATCAGATGAATTATTTAAGAGAAGTCATTTCTATTGTTGACAGTACTTGAATTGGTACACTGAATTTGCAAGAAACCTGGTGTTAAAAAACAATCATCTCAAACACAAATCACAGCTTCTTCTCTTCTAAAAGCACATACCATACTGTATCAAATTCTTTCATTCTTTTAATTAAACATTTAATTTATTACTATATTTGTTTCCACGTTTGCCAAGAAAGAAATTTTGTATTTTGTCTTCATTGAATTATCTTATCGTGCTTCCATCCATAATCCATAATTATTATACAATAATATTCCTCTGCAATCAATTATGCATTTTTGATTCTGCTCTCAAACTTCAGGTCTGTGTAAAGGGGAGAGGACTAAAACATTCATATTTTGGGAATAATAATCTGGATGAAGGTTGTAAGCAGACGTTACTCATTCATTCATTCATTTATTTATTTATATGTTTATTTACGTCATTTTTTGTGCAAGCTGCTCCTCGTACGGATTAATAAAGTTGTTTGAATGAAACTGAAATACTTGAAGGCCTAAAGCCAAACAGGCCTAGCTCTGCAGAGTCCATACACTCGCATATTGTATTACGTAACACTCATTTTCAGAAACACAACACGTATTGATATGTGATTGTGTGTGTGACCCACTTTATAGTCAGTTGTGATCACAGAGGGACAACAAGATAAACAACATGAGCAAATGATAAGCAAGAAATTACATTTTTATAATTTCAAAAAAGGCACCTTTTTGATCAATTCCAGATTTTTCATTTCTGAATAATAATGATTGATTCATATTTATAAAGTTTACATTGACATGAAGTATTCTAACATCAGGATTATAATAGACTGATGTTTCAGTGCACGTCTTCAATCTAAAGTCATGTCCTGTGCAGCCTGAAGGGGGCTTTCACACTCAGTCTGAACAGATTTAGCTCCAAAGAATCTAAACTCTCATATATTGTGTTATGCAACACTCATTCTCAGAAACACAAACACATATTGATATGTGATTGTGTGTGCCCCACTTTGCTGTCAGCTGATATAATAAAGGATAACACTAAAAGACTGGAATGACGTGTTACTGGGTCTAATGAAGGCCTCCAAAACAAACATTTTTAAGATAAAAAAAAATATTAGAAAACACCATTGAGCAGGATTTAGTTGCTTTATATATTCAAACATGGACACAGATCGTCAGCAGTGCAGCTGCAACATGAGTCGACATCTGCCATGACTTTTTACAACACACTGACACTGTCACATTTCATCTCTGAGCAGCATCATGGATGAAGAGCTGCTGTTAATAGACTGTGTCATTATGCTTCATACCTGCAATGCAACACACTCTTGATGTGTGTGCATGCAGACAGACTATAATTACTAATTAACTCTAATATGATTTACCTCGAGTTACTCTTTATTTTTTATGTTTTACATTATATTATAAATTCAAAGTTGAACGGATTGTTGCAAAACTCATTATTTAAAACACAATTATGGTCAATTTGCAGATCATTTTAGACTCTGTTCGCCATTATGAGAAAATACACAAATAATGCCATAAGTGTTTTTTTAATTCCTGTGCTTTTGTGGATGCAATAAGACAAAAACAGTCTCCATAAAGCAAAACTAACCTTACTGACAGTTTTAGTCTCTTTTCAAGCTGTCTCATCACAAAGAAGGATTATGGGGATTGTTTTGAAGAGTCCCACATGTGCAGACTGAGTCTTACTGTTTCTGGGGGAACTGTGCACCACAAAGCAGCCTTTAAATTATGTACACAAAAACATGATACTTTCAAGATACTTTGACTTTCTACATAAGAAAAAAAGCTGCTGCATCTACATTACTGCACAATTATACTCTCATCAAACAGCAGCAGCAGCAGCAGCCTGACTGCTGTGTCTCACTGTGCACAGTTAGGTGCTTTTCCAAACTCAGTCACGTGAAATCACATCACAGAACAATGAGGAAGATCAGAGCTGCTTTGGATTCTTTGTCTTTCCTCATTATGCTTCAGTGTTGGCCTTTAGATGAAATATTTGCAGGGAAATGGCGTCAGATTCAAGTGCATGAGTGTGATGTCATACCATAACAGAAACAGTAGCTGCTCAGACTTTATAATCACATCCTGCAGCTCTGGTTCAGTTTCAAATGGTTGAATTACATTTTCTAAAATGAACTTTATGTGTTTATAATCTAAGTGTAAGAACAGATTGGGCTTGAGTTGGAAAAAGGGGCAGGGTCTGATACCAAACAGGTTTATTTCAGGCTAAAAAATGCTGTTTTGAAAAGTGTTATTACCATATTTTATATAATATCCACTACAAAATTATCTAACCAGTAAAAAAAAGCCGCCCCTCTCTCCCTCTGAAGGGCGTTTTGACAGAAAATGGCGCAACATCCTACATCAGGCTCCCACTGATTTACAGTTCAGGAATTAACGAGCCGGGAAAAGTTGAAATGTCTCTATTTTGTTGGTTTTTTTCATGCAATGCTGTTAGAAAAACTGCTGCGTAAACAGAGATCACCGAGGGAGGTGCTGAAGGTTAAAATCAGGCCGCGGTTGCAGGCCTGCAATAATCCGCAGGCATTAAAGAAGCCATGCACAGCTATCCATTACGCACAGAGCATTACGCACGTATAGATGTATATACATTTTTGAAAATTCCCAGACATTATTAGAAATATTTTGCGCATTTTATGTAAAGTGAAATATGTTCATTCAGAGGCAAATGGATTTTATAAAAAGGTGGTAGAAATTCTCTGATGCAGATTCGAGCATTTTGACACTGACATCATAATTCATCGCAGCTAACCTGTTTTATTTTTTATTTTAAAATTATTTTATTTTTTTTCTGAGTAAAGTACTGGAATAAAAATTGTAATAAATAGAATAAACTTACGCTCTCTGGACCGGTTTTCTCCTCTTGCGTCCTGCATACATGACGGCTCTTCTTATATAAGCCTCTGTTGAACCCCACAGAAGAAAACACAGAGCCTCTTTCTACCGCTACATGTAAGCCACCGAGAGTATTCAGCTGTAATCCACCAGATCAACACAGGAATAAAATCATTCTTTCAAAAAATAAAAAATAGAAAAATAAAAATTTACTCAGAATCGAAGAGGGAGAGTTGAATTCATCTCGGGGTTTCTGCTTTTCTTCCCTCTCTGAGCAGCTGATCTGCTTCAGGATTTTACTCCAACTCTAAAAATAACAAAAGGAAAATAAAAAGTGACGCAGCAGAATCCGATCTGCTAAAAAGGGGACCTGCTCTGAGAAAGAAGCCCACGGTTGTGCTCCCATCAGCCTCACGGAGAGATGAACTTGTCCCGAGCGAAACGACGATGTGGAGTTTTCATCCTCATGATTAAAAAGAGGATGAGATTATCAGAGGAGAGAGGCAGACTGCGGGCAAATCCACCTCATTATTCCTCCACTTTACAAAGACAACGACAGGAGAGCTGGAAAAACATGCAGAAAAACGCTCCAACTATTTACATTTCGGAGCCGACATCAGCGGTGCGCACTCCAATTAGCGCCGGACATGAAGCTGCAAGAGGAGGGGGGCAGCGGACACGCGCATTCCACCGGCGGGCACGCCCCGACACAGATTTCTAACGGGAGCGCGCCCCGGAACCGTGTTTCAGAGTCGCAGCATACATGGGCAGGAGGCATGCGCGGGAACGTGGGAGAGTCTCCTGGAAACACAGGCCGAGCGTGTTCACGTAGGCGCGTTCCCGAGCGGGCCCTGCGTCCAATCAGCACCCAGGATAGGGAGGGAGAGATAGGAGGTTTATGTTGAGCCCGCAGTGGCCCGGACTGAATGTGGGTCAGGGGTTAGACTTTTAAATTATGTAGATGAATTCATCTTAACATTAAAGTAACTCTGATGGGGTCTTCACCTGCGCGCACGAGACTGATGGACAGTTGAACTCAGGTGCAAGGAAAGTGAAACCTTCAGTGTGCCACAGAAGATCATCAAAATCACAGAACAACTGGGTGATTTAAAGCTGCAGTTCTTTTGTTTTGTTTTTTAACACAATGGATCAGATGAAAAAATAAATCGATCAGTTGGATGATGTTCAATGATTCAATGTGACCTAAATTTCCATATTCTCTAGTAATATACAGAAAATGTTCAGTGGAAGAGAGAGCAGGTATGTATTAAGAAGGGAACGGAATTTAAAACAACCAAGCGTTCGTACAACAATGAAAAAAATGTGTCTTTCTGTTGTGGGGGTGAAGCTGTGGAGCAGCTTGCCCAATGACTTAAACGAAGCAAAACAATAGCACAGTTTAAAGTAAATTAAAGCAGAGTATGATTGAAAAACACACAAGTGATTTTCGTTTTGCCATATTTATTATATTGTATATGGGAATGTTACAAAGAGAGATTTGAAGTTTTCTATATATAGTGCATATTTGTGTGTATATATGTGCATATAGGTAAGGATGTATATATGTATATATAAGGTCTTTGGTTCAGTATTAATGATAAGTAACATATTAATGTTAGATTTTGGAGCTTTGGTTACTTTTTGGCTACTTCGGATAGCCTAAAATTCTAGAGACATGTAAAAAGTCAACGAATAAAAAGTAATTACAAATAAGCTAAAAAGCTTCTACCTATTTTTTTTCGATCTCCAAAAAAAACAGGGAATTTCTTGTCTAAAATTGTACTGTATGGATGTATATTTAATCGAATAAACAATCTCTCTCTCTGGAATTGTCCGTTGGCTCTGTGAAGCTTTTTCTATAAAATGTTTGCCTTTTCTTTTTTATTCTGTTGCCCTCGTCTTACAATGCTGCCAGTTTTCTCCTAATTTTAAGGCGCATCACTGGCAGCATCTTGTATTTTTAATGTTTTGATCATTGTAATTCGACTTTAACCTTTTCTTTGTATTTTTTTTCTGCAGACACACTTTTCTCTAACTGTTATTGGTTGGTGTTATTCTTTTTACTGTATTTCTTTCTCATTTATGCCATTCATTGTTATCCAATAGGCGTATATTTTCATTTTTTATGTTTTTCATATACTTTATGTTGTAAAATCCCTGTGGTTTTGTTTAAGATTCACCTCAGATTCCTCTTACATTTTATTCCCAATGTTTTGGAATAAATCAACTTTGTTATAACTGTTCTTATTATCTGTTTTAATAGCACATAATACTAAACATAAGAAACTAGGTGAAGAAGAGAAACCAAGGCAGCTCACTATATGCTCTGCTCTTGGTGTTAAACTGAGTTGAACTATCTCCAAAATACTTCAGTTTGAGTTTGAGACACAAAAACTTTTTAAAAAGGTCAAACACTTTTTAAGATAAACTTCACAGATTGCAAAACTGTTTTTGAACTACAAATACCTACAATATTTTTTTCGTTTTATTATTATTATTATTATTATTATTATTATTATTATTATTATTATTATTATTATTATATTTTGTAACATACTCTTTGTGTTTAAGTAGGAATACCTATCTGAGCATTTAGAGATATTTTTGTCTTTAAAGAAACATAAATTTTCAAAAACATTTGTTTTGCATTTCATTAAATATTTTTGTGTAATAAAATTTCTGGGTTTCATTAGACATTTTGTGTGCTTTGTGTTACTTTTTTGAAGTATTTTGTGTTCTGCAAAATAATTTTGCATTTTGTATAGTATTTTTTAATGTAGTGATTTTTTTGCATTCTATGAAAGGCAGATTTATTTTATTTTATCTTATTTTATTTTATTTTATCTTATGTTATTTTGCATTCTTGGACTCCTTTCTTCTTTAGGGCCCGAGCGTAGCTGCTAAGCAGCTGCGAGAGCCCTCTTGTTCCTGATGGATTCTTCTTTTGTTATTATTAGGGCCCGAGCGTAGCTGCTAAGCAGCTGCGAGAGCCCTCTTGTTCCTGATGGATTCTTCTTTCGTTATTTTTCCTCCGCTTTAAACTGGAAAATGGCCCACTTCCCACCGGCGAAAACTCATGAAATTTGGCAGGATGACCGGGCCTGGTGAAAAATTCGATATTCTGAAGTCACCCAAACAATAAAATGCAAAATGGCTCCATAGCGCCCCCTAAGGTGAAAATTCACACTATTGACTGTCATGCCTGTACGCTTTGTCATATTGACACAAAAATTGACACACACATGTATCTCATTAATATCTACAAAAAAGTCAGTGCGGGCGTATCTGTCAAATGTACGGTTAAAGGGTTATTTCGCATTTTTTGCCGATCCGCACACATTGGAATTTCGCTAACTCCTCCGAAGGCTTTCGTTCCACCGGCACCACATTTGCTCAGGCCAATCTACACTCCATGGCCATTCAAAGTTGTACAAATCATGATGCTGCACCCCATGGTTTAGGTTCTAGGGGGCGCCAAAAATAACCCAAAAATCCAAATTCTTAAAAGTTTTATAACTTTTTATTTTTGTCCCCACTGGCCTCCAAGTTTTCTAGGATGATGCAATGTCCAGCCATCAACACATTTGTGAAGGAATTTTTACTCCCCAAAAGAGCGCCCCCCCATGGCAGGACAAAAAAGTCAATTTTTTCTTGTCCCCTAACATGAAAATACACATTGTTGAGATTCACGCCTGTACGCTTTGTCATATTGACAAAAAATTTGACACACACGTGTATCTCAATAAGATCTACGAAAAAGTCAATGCGCGCGTATCTGTAAAATGTACGGCTAAACGGCTATTTTGCATTTTTTGCCGATTCGCACACATTGGAATGTGGCTAACTCCTCCTAAGGTTTTCGTCCCACTGACACCAAATTTGCTCAGGCCAATCTACACCCCATGGCCATTCAAAGTTGTAAAAATCATGCCGCTGCACCCCATGGTTTATGTTCTAGGGGGCGCCAAAGATGACCCAAATATCCACATTCTTAAAAGTCGTTTTGGCCACTGCAGGAGTACAGAGTACTGCAGGATACACACACACAGACACACACACACACAGACACACACACACACACACACACACACACACACACACATACACACTCAGAGTCTGTTTTTCAGCACCTGCAAAAACATGCTATTTACATATTTGACAACAATGCAGAGACTTCCTTTTGCCCCTGAAAAAAATGAAATTTCAAACACAACTTGACTGCTCATTTCTCCAAAAGACAACCATGAAGCTCCATCCAAACCTGAAGCAGGCAGTTGGTGCATGTGTACAGTAACCTGAGGGGAGTGAGGTGAGTGCTTCTGAGGAGAACATGAGCAGTGAAGATTCACCTTGGAGCTAGAACAGGGACGTGCACATGATTATACAGGGGCAGGGGCTCAAGTTTTTTCCAGTCGTTTAGACAATATGGAAATTAATGTGAAATTAAAAGACAAAGTATTAATAGAAAGGTAATGACTGTCCTGTGTAGGTGACAGTGATATCCAATAGGCTAGGCACTCACGAGGCTGGCTGTGGCAAGTGCAAGTGAAAGCCACACGCACTGGCAGGAAGAACAGCAAACGCCGATGAAGGAAAAGGGTCTTTGCAGTGATGGGCGTTACCAGAGAGGACGATGGCCAGAGGACGCGAATGGGATGGGGAGGAAGCGCGGTGGGGGGGGGGGGGCGCGACACAGCTCGGGCCCGCCAGTGCCCCAACGGGGTCCTAGTTATTAGGGCCCGAGCCAGCTGCAGAGCAGCCGGGCGTAGGCCCTATTATTCCCCAAGTGGTTTTTCTTTGTTTCTTTCTTTCTTTCTTTCTTTCTTTCTTTCTTCTTTTTCCTCCCCTTTGAACTGGAAAATGGCCCACTTCCCACTGGCGAAAACTCATGAAATTTGGCAGGACGACCGGGCCTGGTGAAAAATTCGATATTCTGAAGTCGCCCAAACAATAAAATGCAAAATGGCTCCATAGCGCCCCCTAAGGTGGAAATTCACACTATTGACTGTCACGCCTGTACGCTTTGTCATATTGACACAAAAATTGACACACATATGTATCTCAATAAGATCTACAAAAAAGTCAGTGCGGCCGTATCTGTCAAAATTACGGATAAAGGGTTATTTCGCATTTTTTGCCGATCCGCACACATTGGAATTTCGCTAACTCCTCCGAAGGCTTTCGTTCCATCGGCACCACATTTGCTCAGGCCAATCTACACCCCGTGGCCTTTAAAAGTTATTCAAATTGAGACGCTGCACCCCACGGTTTAGGTTCTAGGGGGCGCCAAAGATAACACTAAAATCCACATATTTAAAAGTCTCATAACTTTTTATTTTTGTCCTCACTGGCCTCCAAGTTTTCTAGGATGATGCAATGTCCAGCCATCAACACATTTGTGAAGGAATTTTTACTCCCCAAAAGAGCGCCCCCCCATGGCAGGAGAAAAAAGTCCATTTTTTCTTGTCCCCTAAGGTGAAAATACACATTGTTGAGTGTCACGCCTATACGCTTTGTCAAAATGACAAAAAAATTGACACACACATGTAACTCAATAAGATCTACGAAAAAGTCAGTGCGCGCGTATCTGTCAAATGTACAGTTAAAGGGTTATTCCGCATTTTTTGCCGATACGCACACATTGGAATTTCGCTAACTCCTCCGAAGGCTTTCGTTCCACCGGCACCACATTTGCTCAGGCCAATCTAC